TTAAGGTACAGGCTTGGAACATGATATTCCAGAGGGCAAAGGAGATAGGATTATAACCAAGAATCACCTACCCAGCAAAACTGAGTATAATCCTTCAGAGGGAAAAAATGAACATTCAGTGAAATAGAGGACAGTAGTTCTCAAACTTTTTATAATAATTGAACTTTAGGTATCTTGATAACCCTCCTGTAGTAAGATTTTTTAACAATATTCATAAAATATCTACAACTACAAATGAGGTAAACTTGATTTTGAAAGAGATCGTTGAATATTTCTGCTCCTTCGAAAAATTTACCAAAAAAAAAAGAGTTCCAGAAGAAGGAACCTCTTGTCATCCCTTCTAAACCTGCTGTTTTACTTCCAACCTGCTTAGTAGAACATTTTTTAAAAATCTTTAAGAACCATTTTTGTTTTCAACCACAACAAATCTCTTTCCATGGGACCAGTGGAAGAAAATGCAAATGCTAAGATATGGTAGTTCACTGTAAGTCAATATAGAATCAAAGAGGAAAGAGACCAATTTTGTACCCTGTAGAGTTCACAGCAAGAGGAGCCTGTGGACAGCTAAAAATGAAAGTCTAAAATAACTCCTTCTGTCTGGAACCCCACTCCAGCTCTATTAAAAGGGGCAATACTTAATCCACTTAATTAGATCCACTTAACCTACTTAAACAATGAAAATAGCGGGCTTTTGGGAGTGTATAGGGACTAGTGGAGCAAGCAGACATGAAGAAGTATAGTAGAAGCACCACTGAAGCAAAACAAGAGAAGTAATAGTTCTTGAGAAGCATAGAGAGCTAGGAGTGGAGGCCAGAAATATTGGACATCAGGATACTTGTTCAGAGGCTCTCTCTCCAACTCAATTTTCAGCCACAAATAGCCTGAGAGAGAAGAGGGTAATAGCAGCCCTTATTTTTATTCCTACTTTACCTTTTAGGTTCTACTGGTAACCTTTTCAGAAGTGGGGTGGAAAAGCAGTATTTTACAGTGATTTGACTCAGCTCAGCTCCTCAGCTTTGGCTAGGCTCCTGTGCCAGGCAGGAACCTTGGCTAAGACAGGCAACGAAGACACAAGGTAGTGACAGATTCTTCAGACCCTGGCTGCCATGGCATGTGTGATTATAGCTGTAACTACAATAGCACCTGAGTGATGGAGTCCAGCATAGACAATAATGTGGACAACTTTGCTGAATGTGCTTATTACCATTACACAAGTTTTTTTACCTCCATGAAACTGCTGGAACACTTTATGGAAACTCAAAGGTCTGCAGGGTATAGTCTGAGAAAAACTGCTTTAAGAATATTGATCTGGCTGGGGTATGTGTAGGATAGACTGAATTTGAAAGAGAATGGAGGTTGCTAAAAGCCTATTGAATGAAGTAAGTTTGTTTTTGTTGTGGTTCATTGGTTTTAGTCATGTCTGACTCTTCATGACCCCATATGGGATTCTCCTGGCAAAGATGCTGGAGTGGTTTGCCTTTTCCTTCTCCAGCTCATTTTACAGATGAGGCAGCTGAGGCAAAAAAGGTGAAGTGACTTGCCCGGGGTCACACAGCTAGTAAGGGTCTGAGGCCAGGTCTGAACTCAGGAAGTCGAGTTCCCTATCCACTGCACCACCTAGCTGCCTCCAATGAAGTAATGAGGTAATATAAATAGAGGCAATGTGCTCTGAGGGATAGAGTACTATACATGGGGTCAGGAAGACTTGGGTTGGATTACAGGCAGCACGGTGAAATGGAAAGAGTCCTGAATTTAAACTCAGTGGAATCCTGGTTCAAATCCCTGCTCTGCCTTTCAGTACTTAAATGATCTTGGACAAGTCTAACTCTAGACTTGAGCTAGAATGGACCTCAGCCACCATCTAGCCTAATATATACCTGGAAAAAAAAATCTCCTCTACAACTTACCTGACAGGTGGCCATCCAGCCTCTTGCTAGATAAAGAGATAGGACTAAAACCTGGGAGTATAGAACTATTATGTTTCATTCAGCATTAATTAAATCAGTATTAAAATATTAGCTCAGAATTCCAGCTGATGGTATTTTAAGTTGATACTTTTTTGAACTTCTGTACAAGTGATGTTTTTCTCTGTCAATAACTAATATTCTCTTACCTGGTGGATTATGTTATAACATGTTGTCTGTATTAACTAATTTAGCTGAGTAAATCGAAATTTTTCACATTCACTCCTTGTATGTATGTATATATATATGTCTGTATGTATATATATGTGTGTGTGTGTGTGTGTGTGTGTGTATACACTTTCCTGAAGAGAATTCTGACTTCATCCTATCTTTGCAAAAGAAACTAGTTTGACATATTCATTCAAAGCCCAGCATATTTTCCATACCCTCTCTGATAGTTACAAAAAGATTTATGCAAGCAATTAATCTTTTTTCCATGCCTGTCCTTATTCTCTTTCTTAATCAGCCTTACACTGGCCATGAAGAGTCTAGGATGTTTTGGATTTTTAATATGGCAGCAGATTTTGATGTAATATAAATAGTGAATTATTACTTTACACCAATATCAAACAGAAGGGGAAACTAGATGGTGTGAATGAAAACTCTCATGCAAATACAAATATCTTCAACTACAGCAGGGAGAACCAAAATTATTGGCAAAGTAAATTGCATTTCTAGCTTCCTTTTTACAGTTTTGGCATGCAGGGAATGATTTCTTTTAGTATTTCTGCCAGGTTTTGTTTTGGGATGCTGCATTTGGTGCTGGGGGGAGTGGTTGTGTAGTATTCATACATATATTTGTTTTAGCATTTCAGGTTTATGAGATGAAGTTTTATATGGGACATAGGACACTCCTTACCCCCCATTCAAGCTGGTTGTTGCCAAATATAATTTGAAAGCATATTATTGTAAATTGTCACCATTTACCCTCCCTATACATCTGAATATGATATCAATAGCAACATTGGACAAAAATTAACCTGTCCAGTGTAGAGAGCAGGTTGCTTTTTTAATGTAGTACAGAGCAACATTTACTGACAAGCTGAACTCAGCTATCATCAAAATTAGAGATAAAAGTATTTTAAGGAAGGTATTTACTTACTATATACACTTTGTAAGAGTGTTTACTTATTGAAATGACAGGATTTTATCTTATTGAAAGGATTTTATATTTATCTATACTTTATCTATATATATACATAGATATATAGATATATAGAATATATACATTCTATATATATTTATCTTTTTTTTTTCATTTTTCCAGGTTAAGGCTATCATAACCATCTGAATAATTCCCCTATCTGCCATTATATTCTTTGTACCTTGTTTTTACTGGATATTCCTTGTACTTGCACAACCAAAGTATACATGTTTAGTTCACTTTAAAGTTTCTTCAGTGTGTTTATTCAGTGATTATTAAATATAGAAATATAAGGTCTTTGGGATAGAAACTGTGTCTGTCTTAAATCCATTAAGCTTTATATTATTATTATATTATACATATATTATTATATCATTATAATGCACTTTACCTTAAGATGAAAAGCATCCAAATAGAGTCCTTACCAGACTCTGTACTCCTTTAATAAAGGAAATTACTGCAAACAAGGGCCACTGACTAGTATTTTGATTATTGGTATGAGTAATAGACTAATATATATATATATATCAAAGTCACATTGACTTTTAAAATGTCATTATCTATTATATTTATTTAATATATTTTATTATTCATCATCATCCTAGATGTCTTAGAATTTAGAAATGATCTGGTATAATATAAAGGAAATTGAACTGGGAGTTTGGGACCATGAATTGGCTGTGCCATTAATTTAACTGTGTTCCCTTAAAGTTAATTAACATGTCTGGGACTTAGTTTCTTCACCTATAAAATGAAAGGATTAGAGTCTGGAGCTCCTTCCATCTAGTAGTAATAGTAGTAGTAGTAGTAGTAGATAACATTTATGTAGCACTTTAAGGATTATAAAGCACTTTAAAATATTATTTCATTTTATCTTCCTTAGAAGGTAGGCATTATTCTTACTCCACAAGAAACTGAAACAGAGATAAATGAAGTGACTTGCCCAGGGTCACACAGCCAGTAAATGTCTCTAGCAGAAAGTCTCTGAGAAGCTAACCAATGAGGACAGTCCCATGCAAATGGCCCTTTGCGGCAAAGGTTAATAAAAAAAAATCCGCTGGCATGCATAACATGGCCATTTTGAATTCTTTGAATTCCTCTTAAACCTAACTTCCTCCCCCAAACTCCTACACACATATATTCTGCAGTGTAATGTTACTGGCCTCCTTGCTGTGCCTTGAGCAAGATTCTCCAACTTCCAATTCTAGACGTTTTCCCCGGCAGTCTCCCGTGCCTGGAATGCTCTCCCTCCTTCCCCATTACCACTGTGTGACCTCTCTTGCTTCAATTCCATCTAAAATCTCACTTTCTGCAGGAAGCCTTTCCTGATTCCTCTTAATTCTAGTGCCATCCCCCTCTTGGTTATTTCCAATTCGTCCTGTAGTTAGTTTATTTGTACATGCTTGTTTGCTTGTTATCTCCCCCATTAGAATGTGAGCTCCTTCAGAACAGACCATCTGTAGTCTTTGTATGCCCAGAGCTTAACATAATGCCCAGCATGTGGTAGGCTCTTAAATGTTTATTGATTACCTAGTCTTTGACCCTAGAGAATCACTTAACCTCTGTAGCTTTCCTTATCTGTGAAATGGATGTAGTAATAACACCTACCTCACAGGATTTTTGTATCAAATGATAAAATACATGTGAAGAACTTTGGTGAACTTTAAAGTGCTTTGTAAATATGTTATGATTATTAATAACATTTATTATTTTATAGATAGATGGGTGAAATTTCCCCAGGCCTTTTTAGCTTACCTCCTGATAACCATGATGATTCTTAGATTTCATTTCCATCGTACCTTTTTAAAATGACTTGATTAATCTATACAACAATCTAAAGAAAAAATAATAAGGTATTCCTTTTTCTCAATGTGTGTTGGTTTTTGTTTCAGCTTTCTAGAAAGAATTGACAGCGTCAGTTTGATTGACTACACACCCACAGACCAGGTAAGTGGGGTTGAGAGCATGTTACCACCTGTTTTCAAAGCCATGGCAGCTTCCAGTGTCATGCAGAAACCATTAGAAAGACTAGGGATGATGACAATACAATAGTTATGATGATTCTTGAAAATCTACCATGCTCACCTACCCAAGCCATTTGAATATTTACAAGGTGGCTTTTTTTTCCTTTAAAATACTACTTGAAGTTTCTGGAAGTGACATATGGACTTTTGGATAGAACACTGGGCTACTGGTCAAGAAACCTAGGCTTCTAATTTGTTATGTGAATAGCATCATTGACTGTACCTTATTTTTCTCATCTGTAAAATGAGAGTAAGAATAACTGGCCTATCTGTGTTACAGGGCTGTTATAAAATAAGAAAATATCAGTGAACCTATCTTAGAAGTTAAAGCAGTACACAAATGCTAAATATTGTTTTATTGTATTTGTCAGAAATATTTCCCAGGCAGAAACTTGAGAATTGTTTTTGTGCTAAAAACAAGTTATTTGTGAAAAGTGATATTTTCCCCTTGTTTTTATTAGGTTTTATACCTGCCAACCTCATAAACTGTTAAGCATTTTTTTTTTAATTCTAAAACAAGATCAGCTAGATGGTACATGGATAGAGCACCAGCCCTGGAGTCAGGAGGACCTGAGTTCAAATCCAGCCTCAGACATATAACACTTACTAGCTGTGTGACTCTGGGCAAGTCACTTAACCCCAAATGCCTCACCAAAAAAAAAAAAAAAGATCATAGAATCATAAAGCTAGAAGGGGCACCAAACATCATCTAGTCCAACCTCATATTTCTTTAAAGATAAGGAAACTCAAAGAGGCTCAACTTTTAAAAACTAATATTCTTTAAATTCTGTGTCATATGTTAACTTTTTCACCAGAACAAATTACTTTAATAAAAGCAAAGAACATGATTTTTATCAAATGCTGCAAGTAGAAGTACCAATATTAGTATTGCCTGGGAGCTATTCTCTCAGCAATCCCAAATGTCATTTAAATGATTCAAGCCTTGAATTTTCTTATGTTACCAAGCACTCTGATGCTTCCAAGCAACAGGTTGAAAATTCCTAAGCTGACATCCAACTAAATTATATAACATTCTCCTTTAGTCAAAGCTTCTCTTGGCTTTCCTTAGAAATTACATGGGGAAACATAATAAATCTTTTATTGGGAGAAAATTTAATCTTTTTACGTGGGAGCTTTCTTTCTATTGCAAACCTTTCAGGTGACTTGTATCTCTGACAAACAAATTTAATCATTAATTTCACAAAATACAAAATAAGACAGTTTCACATACTTTTATAAATGTTTATACTAAGTAGTAGTGCTCTATTATTCGACTATAAGTGCTTCTAAATAATAATGCTTTCACTGAAGCTATAATGCAGAATTTGCTATTTCTCCTGATAATCTGGTTTAGATATTAAATTTTTATTTCTCTTTTTATTTTCATTTTTAGGACAAGTTAGTATGTGTATTTGTTCATGTATTTTAAATAGTATAAACAGTGTATATTCGCAGAGAAATATGCAAAATGGTTATCTGTGTCTGTCTACAGGAAGGCAAAGAAAATGTTCTTTTTCTCCCTCCTTCTGGAATAAAAGGAAACAGCTTTTAAAACAGATGAATATTGGCGATTTTCTAAGTGTAACTACTGATTATGTCATCCCTAAGAGAGAAGCCAAATGGTGCTGCAGAAGGAATATAAACACATAGTAACCTCTTCTTAATTCAATAAAATTGCCAGAATCAAAATAAGTTTCATCAGCAAAAATAGAAATAGTACCACTGGTAACTCTCATTCCTGTTACAGTTGTGAGCAGAAAAGACAAACCTTTATTTTACCAAGCAATATAAATTTTGTTCTTTGTTTATTTAGTGTCTTGTCTTTTGCCAGGGTCATAAGTGTACTTTAAACAGCCATTTATTTATGGGATCATGGTGGTAATTCAGTGTTTCTCCACTGGTCCGGAGTAGTACCAGAACCCACTACTGTTTTTGTAAAGTGATAGGGGAATATCTCCTGGTCCTTGGCATGTATCCTTGAACCATGAGGCATCATCACAGAGTCAAGGAACCCCTGGACTATATTCAGTGTCCTGGGTCCAACAAGGACATGTTTGTGTAGTACACAGCCACTTCAAGAGGTTCCTCTCTGCAACCAACCAACTTTTGTTCCAATTGTCACCCGGAAAAGCCTATATGTCCCCATCTCTTTCCAGGAAAGTCAATTTATGCTTCCCAATATCTCTTGTGTGAATTGAAGCATCTAGAACTCAACCAAAGGCCTCTGACATTCTTGAGCTGAACTCAAATGTCTAGGGAGGACTCTACAAGGTAGCTGGATCAAATGAGCAGCATATAGGAAATACTCTGAAATGAAAAAGGAGAATATGTATCCAAATATAAGTTATAGTTAATATTTTTGTTATTATTCTTAGTGCTTAAACCTATGCCCCAGAGCTGCCCCAGACCATGTATGCATATATAGACACACATATACATGCACACACAAATAAATGAATAAATAAAAATGCCCTTAAAGTATTCAGTGCTTCAATGACACCTTAATAGATTAGTTCAATAGATTAGATAGAAAACCCAGTTCCTAGGAAGAAGAAAATAATACTATGACAATAGTATGGTGACAATAATATATTTAATAGGTCAACTGTGTAAAATGATATGGTTTTCTCATTGATGATTGATTCCTTAATTTAAAGTGACTGGTAATTTGACCGTACTAGCCTTTCACTCAAGTAGAATAGAAGTGTGAAGAAAGCCAGACCACAAGACCATAATCAATTGCCATCTGCTCCAGGATTCTCTATCATCTACAGATGTGGAATTGAGCTTCTTATGGTTTATGTTCTAATTTTTCCTGAAGCTTAAGGTGAAGCCTCTCTCCACTTGTGCTAACAGAATTAGAGCTTCTATATGAGAGGAAAGGAGCTTTTTCTGTGAAAACTCATTAATTTAGGTGTGCGCTGGGTGCATAATGCCCCATAGAATGCTTTCACAAAAGATCAAGCTTTCAGAATTCTTTATGAAAAGAAACTGACATAAGGTCACCATTATAATTCATGTCATTTGGTATACTTATGTTTTCATATTTCTAGGATCTACTCAGATGCAGAGTTTTGACATCAGGAATTTTTGAAACACGATTTCAAGTAGATAAAGTAAATTTTCAGTAAGTATATTGTTTCTAATTATGTACTGGTGCTGGGATCAGCTTGTAAAGAAGACAACTTTTTGCTATCATATATTTTCAACTTCCCTGTTTATAGTTTGATTAATTTTAATTGCCAGTCATTATTGTAGTGCTATAGGGACTGTTCTATAGTTCGAGAAAATAAGGACCCTCTTTGGCTTGAGCTTGAAAGAACTTAATATTCAGCTTCTGTCAAATGAGATGAAAACAGATGATTAGGCTGAGTTTATCTCTTGATGCTGCTATAATTATCTGGGTGTTTGTAGTGTTTTTTAAGGATCTGGAATATTGATTTTTTTTGTCATTTAATTGAAAACAGAAGTAGAAATACCAAAATAGTATCAGCATTTTAGTAGAAAAGCACATTAAACTTATACTAATCCTACTATTGAGTGAAATTTCATATAGAGTAATATCAAACTTCCTATAACACACCTGCTTGTGGAGCATTCGGTGGCTGTCTTGCTGAATCCAGGTCAGGTTCCTCACAGCCAACAACTGGCTTCATCTTGCTTCTCCAACTTGTCTTCTACTAACCCTATGCTCCAGTTAGGTTCCACACTGTCCCTATAATATGTTATGCTCACTCCTGTGAGCATAGATTTTGTTTATGCTATCCTCTCATCTCAAATACACTCCATTAGTGAAAATCCTAGCCATCCTTTGAAGGCTCACCTGAAGTCCTACCCCTACAGGAAACATTCCCTAAATAACTCTAATTCACAGTAATCTTTTAGATTCTTGGAACTCATTTGGAAATTTGAGTCTGCCTCTCAGAATATAGCACTCAGTCATATTCTACCGTGCATTATTCTCTAGTTATTTTGTTTATGTATGTTCCATGGGTATCCACTAAGACTGTCCTAGGTCCTTTTCTTTTTTTCCTGTCTATACTATCACACTTGATGATCTCATAGGGTTAAATTGGCATCTTTATGTAGTTGATTCTCAGAGGTAGGATGCTTTGATCTCTCTCTACTGAGCTATAGTCTTATATCACCTCTCTTATCAAATTCAACACACCCAAATCAGAACTTGTTATCTTCCCCACTCAGGCAAAAACAAAACAAAACAACAAAAAAAAAACCTTTCCCTTCTTTGACGTTTCCCTGTTATTGTCAAGGTATTATCATCCTCATAGTCACTCAGGCTGTAAGCCTTAATGTAATCTTCAGATCCTCACTTCTCATTCACCCCACTTATCCAGTCCAATTACCACATCTTGTCACCTCTGTCTTTACATCTTTCTTATATATCCCCTTCCCTCCACCTTAGTTCAGCCACTACCTTAGTTCAGGCCTTTATCACCTCTCATCTAGACTGTTTCAATAGCCTACTAACTGGTCTCTCTGCTTCAAGGGTCTTCTCACTTGAATTCATCTTCTATTCAGCTACCAAAATGATTTTCCTAATATACACTCTGACCATGTCACCCTTCCCTGCCCCTACTGTGAAAATTCAAGTGATACTCTTGACACTATGTTCAGGAGAAAATATAATAAAAGTTCTTTCTTTGGCATTTTAAGCTCTTCCAGCCTTCTTATACTTTACTCCTTTCCATCCATCTTTTTTAGTTACTTGTTGTTTCCCCCACACAACATTCTATCTTCCATCCCTAGGCTTTTGTATTGGCTTTCTCCCCATCCCTGGAATGCTCTCCCTCCTCACTCCTCCACCTCTTTGCTTCTCTGGCTTCTTCAAGAATCACCCTAAATTTCACCTTCTGCAGAAAGCCTTGTGCTTCCCCTTCCATCTACTCTGTATACATTTCTGTATGTATTTCTTAAGCCTTTCAGAGGTTTTTTTTAATCTTTACTATGTTGTCATTATTGTATGAATTATTCTCCTAGTTCTGCTCATTTCAGTCTGTGTCAGTTCATATAAGTCTTCCATCTGAAACCATCCCTTCCATCAATTCTTATGGTATATAACATTCCATTGTATTCATATAACACAATTTGTTCATTCCCCAATTGTTGACGTCCCCTTAGTTTCTAGTTCATCACTACAAAAGAGCTGCTATTAATATTTTTGTACATATAGGTACTTTTTTTTTCTTTCTTTGATCTCTTCAGCATATAAGCCTAGTAATAATATTGCTATTTCACAGGGGTGTGCACAGTTTAGGGTTACCAAGTATACCATTAATGTCCCTGGTTTTGCAGACCCTCCAACATTTGTAATTTTCCTTCTTTGTCAACTTTGAAGGGTATGAGGTGAAACCTCAGAGTTGCTTTAATTTCATTTCTCTAATTATTGATGATTTGAAGATTTTTTTCAAATGATTATTGATAGCTTGGATTTCTCCCTGTGGGGAAAAAATGCCTTGAACACATTTACCTATTGGTGAATAGCTCTTATTTGTACACTTTTGAATGAATTCCTTCTATATCTTGGAAATGTAACTTTTTAATACTCTGATTTCTTTTCAGATTATATAAATCTTTTACCTTATTAAGGAAATGAGACCTTTATTAAAGAAACTTTCTGTAAAGATTTTTTTACCAGTTAATCTGTTCTTTTGTAATTTTTTCCTGTATTCAACCTATACCCTCTTGTTTAAACTTAATTTTATTTTTTCAATTGATGAAAATCTAACTGCCCCTCCCACCTCTTCCAATTGAAAAAAGAAAAACAAAGCCCTTGAAGCAAATGTGGATAATCAAACAAAACAAATTCCTATATTGCCTGTGTCTCAGTTTGCACGCCAAGTCCATCATCTCCCTGTCAGGAGGTAAACAGCATGTTACATCATAAGTCCAATAATTCTTATACTGTCTCTCCTTAATATTTTTTCCAGCTCAGTTCTTTTTTATATGAGCTACCTAACACTTTTATTTTTTTTCAGTGTTTTGACTTTGCTTTAATATTTTGTGTTGTTTCTTGTCGTTATTAACTTCTGTCTAGTCCATTCTTATTTTCAAAGAGTCTTGTTTGAATAAGGTTTTGAACTTAACTTCTTTTGGCAAGCCATTAATTCTCTTTCCAATTCTTTCTTCCATACTTCTTACTTCTTTCCAATTTTCCTCCTAGTTTTCTCATTTTTAATTGTTTTTTCCTAGTTCTCTTATTTCATTTATAAAATCATTTTAGCTTTTTTTAACTTTTCATTTTTCTATGAATTTTAATTTAATTTGTACCTCAACTGTGTTTTTAAAGGCTTTGTATGTATTTGTATATATTTTCATGTTATTCTCTTCATTTGAGTTTGCATTGAGCTTCTCTATCACTTTTATAGCTCTTTCTGATAGGATTATTTTTGTATGGTTGTTCTTCCAGCCTTACATCCTGATTTTGCACTTTATGTTAGGGCCAGTGTCAGAGTCAAACGTCCACGGATTATTTTTGTACTTACTTTGCACTCAGTACACAACCTCAGGCCTATGACCTCTCCTTGCCCTGTACTGCCACTTCTAGGAACAGATCCCCTACTATGTCCACACTAGATGTGTGATCTAGCATTAGATGACAAGGAACAGGACTGACAATTGACACCTGTTCCTGCTCTCTGTACAACATTAAGTGTTTCTGTTCCAGGTCTAGGAGCTGTTCTTACCCTGGTATATAACTATGGGCAAGGCCTGATTTTCCTGTGCTAGAATGCTCCTCATGGCCATTCCTGGCTAAGCCCTTTCCCCAGTGGCTATAGATATCTCTGTCTCCATGTGCCAACCCTGGCCAGAACAATAATACACTGTGTTTTTTTTTTTCTTCTAGTACATTTCTAGATTTTTGTGGAATAGTTGCAGGGGAAAGCTCAGCTATAGTTCTTGCTACTCTACCATCTTGACTTGTCTTTCTCCTCACTCTTGGTGAAATAAAATACAACATCGTAATTGCAGTGGTAGGAAGCTACAAGATAGGTTTTGTAAATGTGCTTTAGCATCCTCACAGAGGATACTGATATCACAGAAAGATGGAAATTGATCATGGACACAGTGATGATGTGAAGTATGTGATAAATGAGCCATTGGTCCCATAAGATAACAAGTCTGAAGCAAAACGTTAGAGGAGTAAAATCTAAAATGAAGAAAGAATTAAAGATACAGGAATAGTGACTGGCACATGATAGGAAGGATTAAAAAGCACATTCACAGGTGGTGGAGAGCAGGGTGCTTCAGAAGCAAAGATATGTGGTACAATGAGTAGTAATTCTAGTCATATGGTAAAAGGTATCACCAACATGCCAATCTTTGGTACTCAGCAGAAGTAAAGATTTTGTTTATATTTAAACTAAAGCATAAGCTTCAATTCTTTACAACAATGAACCAAATTTACCAATGTAAGTTAACTTCCATTTGCTCTTCAACAGTATGTTTGATGTAGGTGGTCAGAGAGATGAAAGAAGAAAATGGATCCAGTGCTTTAATGGTAATTTTTAGTATGTTTGCTTTAAACATAAAAAAGATCTACTTCTCATAATATTTTCTACTTTTGTACATTTTTGTGTTACATGCTCTCACTTTTTTATACTTCCATTATTACTTAGTTTCTATGTACATTTCTGGTACATAAGTGAATTTACAGCCTCAAATTCTTTTCTATATTAAAGAAGCAATCCAATCACATTAAAGTCATCGACAGAAGCTGTAGTTTAATGGGAGATACACTGCATTTGGAGTCAGTAAATGTGATTTCAAATCCCAGCTGTACCACTTACCTAGCTCTGTGATATTGGACAATCATAATCCCTCTGAGCCTTAGTTTCTATATATATATAAGATGGGGAAAATTTATATGTGCACTATCTACCTCACATGGTTGATAACGTAATGCAATGTATGTAAAATGTTTTTGTAGCTGTAAAACACAGTTACTCTAGCTGTTGTTGTTGCTTACCAGATCCAATAGCTATCGAGTGCAAAATGCATTTGAAGTGTTGTTTGCCTGGCGTACTACAACAAAGATCTGTTCTTTCACTGAAGTGCATCTCCTTCTCTCTTGTCTCTCACAAAGATGTCACTGCTATAATCTATGTCGCAGCCTGCAGTAGCTACAACATGGTGATCAGGGAAGACAATAACACGAACAGGCTGCGAGAGTCCCTGGATCTTTTCAAAAGTATCTGGAATAATAGGTAAAAAACAAAATAAAATCAGATTACATGCCATCTTGGGGAGGGAGGCAAAGAAGGAGAGGGCGAAAAATTTAAAACTCAAAAGCTTATGGAAGTGATTGTTGATAAATCAAAATAAATTAATAAAAATTTTTTAAAATAAAAATCAGCTTTATTTTAATGTTCATGAATAGAGTTTATTATAAATGCTGCTTAGAACCTTGGAAGTCAATATTAATGTAATTTTGGGGTGGACAGAAGAGCATAATCATTCAAAGTCAATTTTAGTCTGCCAAAATGTCTTTACATGCCTCAACTGGGTACACTGTCCCTGGTAAAAAAAAAAATACCAGAAGTAAAGATATGAAGAAAATTTCAATTTCTATTTTGAAAATACACAAATTTGTCATGGTTCGAAACCTGTTTTCTTTAGTACTTAATATGTACCAAGCACCAGTCTGAATATGATATATGAATGTTTCCTTTATTTTGTTCCCATTGGCTTTTTTTTCATGTCTCTTTCCTATAGCATTTATCACATTCTGCAGTGGGGCTAATTTGCTTCTTTTTAATCTTTTCTTTTTACCATGAGTTTAGAAAGGGGGCCGGGTAAGCCAAGAGAAAATGTCAGACCCTTAAAATAGTGAAAGTAGTTAGTAGCTTCTTTATTTTCTTTTGTATTCAACAAAAAATATTCAAATACACATATGTGAAATGTTACCTTATTTATAGCTTTATTGTATATATTGAATTCAAGACATTTTTATTAAATACCCACTATATTCTTGGATACAAAGACAAAAAAAAAAACACTCCTGCCCATGAAGCTTGAGGTGCTTACATTCCTCTGGGGGAATATATCATGTACACAAATATAACACAGGGTAGTTTGAGAAGGGAAAGAATATTAACACTCAGGAAATTAAGGAAGACTTATGGGGAACATGGGATCTGAGATGAACCTTAAAGGAGAATTCGATATTTTGAGAAGTGGAGTTGGGGACACAGTACATTCCAGACATGGGGGACAGGTTGTACAGATGCAAAGAGGCAGGAAAGAGATGGAATGTCAAGTCAAGAGAACAGCAGTTAGTCCAGGCTGGTCAGAGCTTAGAGCATGTGAAGGGAAATAGTGTGACAAGATAACAACAGCTCCTGTCTGCTTCTATCCTGAACTTTTTTCTATCTATTTTTTGCATAGTGTTGCTAAATTATTATTAGTGTTGTTTTTTAGCATAGTTATAAAACATATGATTTTTTCTGATTCTGCTTTCTTCGCTCTATCATTTCATGAGTTTTCTCTTATTTTTCTGTTTTCTTCATATTTATCATTTCTTAGAAGAAAGGTTCAGACCTATATTATTAGTATAAAGATCTCTAGGTGAGGAAACCTCCTACCAATGGAGATAAATAACTGTTCTTCCATTTAGAATCTTTGAGAGTTGCCTGGGACATTGTGAGGCTAATTGATTTGCTTAAAGGTCACACAGTCAGAATGTCAATAATAGGACTTGAACTTAATTCTCCCTCCTCTGGGACAAGCTCAGTGTCCAGGAAAGGATGCCTAACTGCATCTCTCACATTTCTTATGGTACAGTAATATGTGTGTGTGTGTGTGTGTGTGTGTGTGCGTGCACGTGCGCGCACGTGTATATGTGTGTGTGTGTCTAAATATGTATATTTATACATATATGTATATGTATATATATATATATATATCACAAATTTGTTCAATCATTACACAAATGGGTTATTTATAGGTTTTTGCTATTACAAGTAACCCTAACCCTAATCTTACAACAAGTTTTTTTTTTATAGCTAGAGTATTTTTTTCTCCCTATCAGTAACATTCTTTGGACTTAGTCCTAATAGTGGGATAACTGAGTTGGGACCAGTTTTGTTGACCTGTTTTGTAGTTCTTACTGAATGATGCCATAATGTTTCCCAAAAAAAATTGTACCACTTCATAGTCCTATTAGCAATAGAAATAACATTAAATGTTGTCATTTTAACTATATTTTACCAATTTAACTACATTTTACCAATTTACCTAAATTATAATCTCAGTTTTATTTTAATTTGCAATTCCCTAATTACCAGAGAGTACACAATATTAACTAAATATTAATAACTTCTATTTCTTATTTTGAAAGCTGAATTTTCTGACTACTTCACTATTTCTTATTGTCAGAAAATCTATTTCAGATTTATGTTTGCATTAGATAAGTTTTGTATGTGTGTCTTCTCTCCAGTACTAAAGTATAAGCTTCATATGGGGATTGTGGCTTACTCATCTTTATGCATTCCTCATTGCCCAGCACAGTGCTCTGCAGGTAATAGGTACTAAACTAATCTTTATTGAATTGAATTTGAAATACCAATTTATGTGGCCATGTGGCATATATATTGACACTAAAAAGACCATCCTGCCTTGTCCTCTTCCCCCTCTTTCTATAATCTAGGACAAAAAGTAGAAGGTCTTGTCCAAGATGTTTAATGAAGACTCTATCAAGGGCAAGAAGAAACCAGATGAGGACTTAGTTGTCCTCGTAAATATGTAGATTCCAATAATCTGCAAACAATTCCACTACTACCACCACTGCTTTTACCAAACTTTCTCAATGTTGTGGAAACTAAGACATCTAATGGAAAAGAATATAGAACATAACAAGAAAATATATGCTCTACAGTTCATTGTTTTGATTTCAGTTAAATCCTGAGCTAACATGCTTCATTCCTTTGAGATTTTATACCCTCTAAAGGCCTATGCTGATTTGTGTAGCTAATCCTATGATACACCAACTTCCAGTTCCCATCCTTTAGAAAATGGAGGAAAATAATACTTTTCCATAGTTTCCCTTTATTGTAACAGAACCAACCCATTTTTGCACATTAAATAGATTGATTTGAATTAGACCTGTTTAATGACAGGCTCTCTGTGGGGGTGCAGAAGAGTTATGTGGGGGAGGAAGAGGAGGAGCTGAGCAAGTCATGAATTAAGCTTTGTGACTAGCTAATGAGTCACACACTTGGTTAACTCTTTGAATTCCAGAGTTGGCTTTTCTGATTCTTCTAAATCTTAATTGATCCACAAAAATTTTAAGTTTTAGAGTTAGCAAATCAGCTTATATCACATTTTCCTCCCTTCCCATATCCCATCAACGTGGGCAAGAATTAGATAGGAATTTGAAAATGACATGTTGACAAGATAGATCTTCACTTAAATTTTTGTTAATGGCTTATTGGCTGAATAGGTGATTGGATTGAAGTGGGGGTGGATGGGTATAAGAATTTGCACATTAGAATTCATTTAATAAAATGTGCTTTTAGCACTTCAAAGTCCATCAAAAATTCAGATGTCAAACAATTTTTTCCTTGTTTCTCCTTTTCAGGTGGTTGCGGACCATTTCTATCATCTTGTTCTTGAACAAACAGGATATGCTGGCAGAAAAAGTCTTGGCAGGGAAATCCAAAATTGAAGATTATTTCCCTGAGTATGCGAACTACACTGTTCCTGAAGATGGTAAGATTTCAGTATGAGTCTTTCCAGGTTTTAGGAAAAGACACACAATTCTGAGGAGTACGGATAACTTTCCCCCTCTCTCCCACTGTACCTGTCTTCAAATAAAAAATAACCAGGAGCTACTAATTGGAGTACAATTATATTATGCTCTAAGGTCTATATTTTGGAAAGTTACCTCCCTCCAATCTTTTAGGGTTTATGTTCATAATTATTTCCTGCCACATTTATATTTTTTTGCTTTGTGAATAGAGACTGTACCACAAAAGAAAAATAGCAGTTCATAATATGCAAATATGACCTGTTATTTGCTATTATTTCTGTTTTGGAGTAACTTAGTACCTTCCATATCTTCATTTTGCCACCCTAATGTCATTAACATTATTTCTAAATTAATAGAATTTATCATTGATAATTTAGAATGTTTAATTTTGATCTACATAACATTTTTTGGGCCCATTCAAAATGATATGTTGGAAAGTTATGAGAGGAACAACACATTTATACAGGAAATGTGGGGCCCAAGAAGACTAGCAACTCACATTTATATAGCTCTCTATAGTTTACAAAGTATTTTCCTCACAACAGATCTCTGATTGTCCAATTATTAACTCCATTTTACAGTTGAAGAAACTTGGGCTCAGAGATGTTAAATAACTTGCTCATAATCACAGAGCAAGTAACCACTCATTCTAATGCCACATCCATTGATCTCTCTATTCTTTCCAATTTCACTAAAGATTTATGAAAGGGACTCCTGGAGAGGTTGCCACTGAGTTTTCTTTTTTTTTTATCGATGGAGAGTAAGAAAGATTAAGGCTACATAGATCTAGAGCTGGGATGGATAGCTGCTACTAGCTTTAGGACCTTGACAGTCATAAAATTAAAAGAGAATCCTGGAATTAGAGTCAGAAAACCAGAACTTCCTCTGGTCTTTCTTGCCCATGTGGCCTTGAATAAGTCATTTCATATCTCTCAGCTTCAGTTTCCTCATCTGTAAAATGAGGGGGTTGAACTTAGTGGCACCCTCCCCCCAAAAAAAAACCTACCTCCTTGGCTGCTTCTGGCTGGCCACACGTGGCTCAGCCCTGAAGGACTTGGGTGATTCGATGTGTCAAACTGATCCTCTCAACAGTCTTTTTGTGCCGTGATGGAGATAAGAGTTGTCTGCATCAAGAGGACTGGTTGAAGGTGGAGCCAAAATAGTGGGAAGGCAAGCAGCAGCAAAGTCAGCTCCCTCTAACCCCCAAAAGCAAAACTCTACCAAACAAATCTATAAAATACACCAGACTGGATCCTGTTGGGAAATCCAAGGGAAAAAATATCACGAGGAATGTTTTAGTCCAGGTTGAGACAGGGAGACAGACAGCTCTATAGACACTGGTGACAGGGTCTGCCAGGCGTGAGCTACACCAAGCATTCCAACATGGACAGGGGCTGTACACCATGGCAAGAGGAAGTCCTAGAGCACCATGCAACCTCATGCAAAGTGTGGGAATAGTTCTTTTTCTCACTACCCAGTTCTAGGTCACAGAGCCAGGGCAGGCTGAAGAGGGCACCTGTGCCCAGAGGTGGCAAGATCCACCTTAGGCCCTAGATGGTGTTCTAGAGTGGAAAAAGTTCAGAAGCAAGTAAAGCTTTGACCTTCCCCACACACACACACACAACACACACACACACACACACACACACACACACACCCCAGGAGCACTTTCCATTTCTAGCCAAATCTGGAGCCTGGAAGGGAATAACCAATGGGCAGGAATCCCAAACCAATGGGAAGTTTACAGTTCTGTCCCTCTGAACCAGCTGAGCTTTCCCACTGATTGACAGTGGTTGAGTCCAGGGGCAGTCCGCTTTTGCTCAGACCCCAACCCAGGTGAGTGCAGAGCTCAGAACAGAGAAGCAGTAATCAGACTCTCCCCTGGATAAGACTACTTTGGGAGAACTAACAGCTTACGCTGACAGCCTGAGCTGTCCCTGCAAGCCTAGACTAACATAACACTAAGTGCTCCAATAAAGCAGCAAAAGAATCAGCTCAGATCTGACCTGCAAATGTGCACAGATATTTCAGAAGGAAAAGGATATAGACTTTTAGCCCAAAATAGCCTACTCCACAAAACTGAGTATAATCCTACGGGGGGTTATTATTCTATTTAATCAAATAGAAGATTTTCAGGCATTCGCAATGAAAAGACAAAAGCTGTGCAGAAACTTTGAAATTCAAACACAGGAGTAAAGAGAAATATAAAAAGGTAAACACAAGCAAACATCTTACAGGACTAAAGGATAGACTGCTTATATTCAAATATGATGATACAGGTGTCCCACTCTGAACACTATCATCATCAAGGGGGAGGGAGGGAAGGAAGGAAGGAAGGAAGGAAGGAAGGAAGGAAGGAAGGAAGGAAGGAAGGAAGGAAGGAAGGAGGGAGTGAGGGAGGGAGGGAGGGAGGGAAGGAAGGAAAGAAGGAAGGAGCAAGCAAGTATTTAGTAAGCAGGTACTATGTGCCACGCACTGTGCTAAGTGCTTTACAGTTACCTCATTTGATCCTTTACAACACTCCTGGGAAGTAAGTGTTATTATTATTCCCATATTATAGCTGAGTATACTGAGACAAACAGGTTAAGTGGCTTACCCAGGGTTACACAGCTCATAAATGTTTGAGGCTAGATTTGGATGCAAGTCTTCTTTACTCCAAGCCCAGCACACTATTCAGACAAAACAACTCTGAGGTACCACATCACACCTATCAAATTGGCCAATATGACAAAACAGGAAAATGATAAATGTTGGAGAAGTGGGAAAATTGGAACACTAATACATTGTTGGTGGAGTTGTGAAATGACCCAACCATTCTGGAGAATGATTTGGAACTATGCCCAAAGGGCTACAAAAATGTGCATACCCTTTGATCCAGCAATAGCACTTCTAGGGCTATATCCCAAAGAGATCATAAAAATGGGGAAAAGCCCCACATGTACAAAAATATTTATAGCAGCTCTTTCTGTGGTGGCAAAGAATTGGAAATTGAGGGGAAGCCCACCAATTGGGGAATGGCTGAGCAAGTTGTGGTATATGAATGTAATGGAATGCTATTGTGCTGTAAGAAATGATGAGCATGGGGACTTTAGGAAAACCTGGAAAGACTTGTATGACCTGATGCTGAGTGAAGTGAGCAGAACCAGGAGAATGTTATACACAGTAACCGCCACATTGTGTGATGACTAACTTTGATAGACTTAGCTCTTCTCAGCAATACAAGGATCTAAGACATCTCCAAAAGTCTCATGGTGAAAAATGCTATCCACATCCAGAGAAAGAATTATGGAGTCTGAATACAGATCAAAGTATACTATTTGCTCTTTTTTTTCTTCTGTTTTATTTTGTGGCTTCTTTCTTGTAGTTTCTCCTATTGGTTCTAATTCTTCTTTAAAACATGACTAATGGGAGCAGCTAGGTGACACAGTGGATAGCGCACCAGCCCTGGAGTCAGGAGTTCAAATACGGTCTCAGACACTTGACACTTACTAGCTATGTAACCCTGGGCAAGTCACTTAACCCCATTGTCTAGCAGGAGGGAAAAAAAAAACATGACTGTTGTGAAAAATATTTAATAGGAATGTATATGTAGAGCCTATATCAGATTATATACCATCTTGGAGATGGAGGCAGGAAAGGAGGGGGAGAAAATTTAAAACTCAAAAGCCTATGGAAGTGAATGTTGAAAACTAAAAATAAATTAATTTTTTAAAAAAAGAAATTATAAAGGGGATGGTCTCAGAGAAACCTGGGAAGACTTGTATGAACTGATGCAGAATGAAGTGAATCAATTTATGCAGCCACAACAATATTGTAAAGACAAACAACTTTGAAAGACTTAGGAACTCTGGTCAGCATAATTGCCAACCTCTTTAGAAGATTAATAATGAAACCTATTACCCATCTCCTTTCAGAGAGGTAAAAGACACTGAGTGCAGAGATTTTTTTTTTATATGACCAATCTGGAATTGTTTTTCCAGCCAAAAATGAGTTTTGTTTTTTTTCTTTCTCAATGTGACGGATAGGTGGGAAGGTGAGAAGACAGACTGTTGATGATTGAAAAAATAAAATAAAATTTAACTTTAAAGTATTTTCTAGCACCAAATCTTAGCAGCTATGTTTCCCTGGGCAAGTAATATAAATCTCCCTAAGCCTCAGTTTCCTCATCTGTGAGGATACTTACTACACACATATTGCTATGAGGAAGGTGCTTTGTACCTTAAAGCATGAAGCAGATGTGAGTTCTTGTGTCTTTTATAAAGCCTTTTATACTGCATGGTACCATGTATTGAGTTGAGTTTACCTTTTCTATAAAAATGATACTTTATATTTAACTGAGTACATTTGTATTTTTAATTCCACAGCAACACCTGATGCAGGTGAAGACCCCAAAGTTACGAGGGCCAAGTTCTTTATCCGGGATGAATTTTTAGTGAGTAATTTTTAAAACTTTATAAGTGTTTCATCCCCCGTGGTACTCTCATTGAGTGACTCCAACAATACATTTTGCAGGCTGCATTCTCAGCTATCCTCCTATGCTTTGACTTGCTATCATTGGGCTACATTTTAGATCCACAAAGTGCTATTATGTGCATATTCAAAAGTACTAATAAGCCAACAGCCACTGTACAGATCAGCTTGTTCAAGGTCACGTTTCTTTAAAAAAAAAATTGAGCCGTTGTGCTGTACTTTATAGGTAACTGGCTATGAATGAATTTTGGCCAACGAGACCAATCAGCAAATACCAAAACACTCCCCAGTGACACAACCAAAACTATGGTCTCTAAGGATCTGCAGAAATATGAAACTAAACTGGAGCTGGATGGGTCCCCTTGTAGTTAAAGGTTTGTGCAGCCAGCCATCTCTAGCAGTGCATTTCTTCAGTCTCATGAAAGCCTTTCTGTGGGAAACCAAGCACTCTCATCAGTTTTCTGCTAGAACCTATTTCTATTCTATCCCCTTCTACACTCCCACACACACACACACACACACACACACCCCTGTGCAACCTCCAAATCTCTTTCCTTTTGTGGGCTTTATCTTAAATTCTTTGTTGAATTGGGAAGAAATGTACTTCAGTATTCCAGGATTCCTTCATTCCATCAATTTATACTCCAGTATAAATACTCTTTATGTTTTAAGTTGCCGTGGATAACAAACACATAATCCACCCCTAGACCTCATCTTGATAAGCCATGCTAGAGCTCGTGTTCTACTGGCAAAGCCTTTAAGAATCCAGGGACACAGGGCAGCTAGGTGGCACAGTGGATAGACCTCTAGCCTTGGAGCCAGGAGGACCTGAGTTCAAATCCAGTCTCAGACACTTGACACTTGCTAGCTGTGTGACCCTAGGCATGTCACTTAACCCCAATTGTATCACCAAAAAAAAAAAAAAAGAATCCAGGGTCACCTTCATGCCCTCTTGAAGCACTAGAGGAAAAGATTTACAAATAATTAAGGTGGTTCTATCACTTCATTTTCCAGAATAAATGAATTCTCTTGCATGCTGGTGGGGATTAAAATTAGCAGTTAGAAAATGTACTATTCTCTGACCCAGAAATATGCCTTGCCCCTGTGTTCTTATGCCTTGGTCATGTTACTAAATAGTCAAACCTCATGTAGATGTCCCTTTGAATACAGTGATTCAATATGAAGAATTCTGGCTACTGGAATTAATGAAACTGATTTGGTAAATGTTAACTTTTCATTTCTACAATGGGACAAATATGGTAGTCTGAGAAAGTGAGATGGCATGAAAACCTGCAGCTTCCAACCTAGGAAGCTGCCAGGGTATGCTACAAAACCTGATAAACTGGGCAGAAACAAAGCTATGGTCCAAAAAGGGCAGAGGGAGTAAAGGGACAGTGTGACTGGAAGGGGTTGTGAGTCCTTCCAAACCATCAGAGCAGCAGCTAAATTGGAGAAGAACAGGAATGGATCCTTTCCTAGAGACTTCTTTAGCCCAATGACCATGTGGCAGGGGAGCTACTGAAGGAGAGAAAACAGCATTAAATCAGAAGGTAGGGGCATCACTGGCCCTACCTACTTATACCAACACTTGTCTCTGTCATTAGGACAGTACCTTTTTTATTCCTACAGAAACATATCTTCCAGTGAAAAATGATGATTGTTATGATTTTCACTGTTTAGTGATATTTGCACATTACAAAGATGTCTCTAAATTAGGATGTCAAGGTTTTCAAGGGTTTGCATTTCCAAGTAGAATCAAATTGGAAAACATACCAAAAAGTAATCACAATACATCCAGTAAACCATTAAAGAATACTTTCTGGGCTCTTGGAATGATAGGGTTAGTGTAAGACATAGTCTAACCTCAAGTATCTTACAGTCTAGTTGAGAAAATAAAATATACATGTGAAATTTGAGTTATTTTACCTCTCTGGGCCTCAGTCTCTTCATCTGTAAAATAAGGAAGTTGCTTTAAATGTATGAGCCTAAGAATTATGGGAGAATTTCAAGGCAGCATATCAACAAGAAGAAATATGGAATATAGGAGTCCTCAGAGTGACAGATGGCTCCTTAGAGCTAGGTCTTTAAGTAGTACTAAGACATGGGTATGTAAGGTGAAAGTGTTGCATTTGGGGAAAATGGCAACCAGTTTCCTATCATTAGAAACAAAAGAAAAAACACTGGCGCTCAGGTCTGGATTCAAATTCTACCTCCAGTGCACACTATCTGTAACTTCGTGCAAATTATTTTACCACCTAAGCCTCGATTTCCTTATCTGTAAAGTGAAGGAGTTGAACTAGACAGTCTCTGAGGTTTTTTCCAGCTCTAAATCTATGATCTTATTTTCATTTTGGCCTTTATTTAAATATCTCCAGTCATCTCATTAGGCCCTCTGATAGTGTTGTCTCTCTAACATAATCCTATTGCAATATGTATGCATATTGAAAATAAAGGATAGAAAATTAACTTGGTAGAATTATTTTTTAATGTAATTGATTGGAATTAGGTTTTTTTTAAAATTCTCTGTCAGTTGACTGGACTTGTTTTTACAAGTATGTATTTCTCATTTTGCTAGTGAGATTCTATATTTTTCCATAGAAATCTCCTGCCCATTGGTCGGGAACAAAAGATTTAGAGACTAAGGAAAAGGGGATACAATTCTTGGCAGATCACATCACTTCTTGGAGCTTCAGTTTCCAGTATTCTGTGATAAGGGCTGAGATGCTACCATTTTATATTTTCCTTAAAATTCTCAAGAACTTCATAGAAGAAATTAATGGATTAATGAGCCATTAAACCTACTACTGTATCTTCTCCTTGACAATACTTCTTCATATCCCAGGATATTAAAAAGTTCTTAATCATATTAGATTATGGGTGATGGTGCATTTGTAATAGAAAAGCAGAGTAAAATAAATTATTTAGCAAAATAATCATATTGTGCTTTTCTTACTGTCCTGCTATATAAAAAGTATAGACATGTAAAGATTTACAACTTGAAGATGATAATGAACAGACAGTCATGAATATAGAGCTGGAGATGCCAAGTGCCTGATTAAGCAGCATGATATTGTGATTTGGAGAGATAACTACTATGTGACTTCTGGGGTTGTTGTGAACATAAATTATGATTATCAACTATAGTTTTAACATATGGTCTATAACAAGCATTGCCAAGGAGAAGACAGTGGTGAATTTAGTGACATTCCTGAGAAATTTGGCAGAAATATAAAATGGTATGGTCTTAGCTGTCATGAAAACATATTGGAAACTGAAGTTCCAAGAGCTTATGTGATTTGCCAAGGGTCATAAACAGCTAGTAAGAATCAGCCAGGATTCAAATTCAGGTTGTTTAACTTGATATTGGGTGCTCTTTCCATCACGCTCCATTAATTAAGTCATCAAGATTACTAGTATAGATTGACACCAGGTAGTATTTTTCTAACATACATCTGAAAAAGTAAGTAAATTTCTTACTTTTTCCCTTTCCATTTGCTCCCAAGTTAGAAATAGGGTTATCCTTTGTATCTCTGCATAAATGAAAATATGAAGTATCACCAGTCAAAAACTATTCCCAGAGCATTAGCACTCTAGAGCTGTATATGTGTGTGTGTTTGTGTGTGTGTATGTGTGTGTGTGTGTGTGTTTCCAGCATGGATCACAGGCCTAAGTTTGATTTTCATTTCATTTACTATAGTTGGGAAACAACTACAGGCCTATTTCAATGGTATAAATGATGCTCAGGGAACAGGCAGCAATTTCAATCAGCCAGCAGTTTATATTTTTCTATTTTATCTGCCTAGATATGAAAATGATGTCCCATCTTATACATTTGGAGAATTAGTCAGCAGCAATTTGACCCATGGTTGGAAATGCATGCAAATATAATTGATATAATGCTACAGCTCTCCTCAGACAAAAGGAAATCTGGAAAGGCATGATTGGTTTTCTTTTTCCCTATAGATACTATCATGCTATGTGCACTTAAAAAAAAAACAGGCATTTTAAGCATTTAATAATTGTTAAATTATTTTTACCCAACCTAATATTATGATCAATATCTATATTCATCATAATAAACAGCATGTCTCCAAGATGATGTCTTAGGGAGGTTCTCTCCTGCAATTTCTTTATAGCTGTCTCCTCAGACTTTCACTTATATTGCTCCTAGTTGTTTCTTGCATGTATGTCTCTTTCCCAGACAGATTGTGAATGAATACTTTAAGGGAAGAATATACATATATACACGCACACATACACACTTGTATGTATATATACATACACACATATACTAATACATGTACACAGACACATATATACGTGTGTGTGTGTGTGTGTGTGTGCGTGTATTCTTCTATATCCCTCATGGTACCTAGCACAATACTGAGCACACAGAAGGCTCTTAAATTCTCGTTGAATGATTGAAACTCCTTATATAATTGCTATGTGATCATTAATATTTGACACTTGCCTACATAAGCAGACTATTGTAATGAAAAGAGCATCAGATTCAGCCAGAAAAGTTGTTTTTAAGTCATGGTTCCAGGACTTGTTAGCTCTCTGACCATGGGTAAGTCCCTCAGTTTTTTTTTTGAACTTCAGTTTCCTCATCCATCAAAGGGAGATGTTAATACATCATAGGGTTAATTAGGGAAAAAATACTATGTAAAGTGTTTTAATCAGGGTGAGTTGTTCATTGCCCAATGTGAACATCACTGTTAACTTGGCACAGGAGTGTCAAAGAAGCAATTATGTTTCCACTACAAAAAGGATTCCCTATGCTTGCTCTCTCCCTTAAGGCAGTTCAATATCCATTGCACTGACTATGAGAGAGACTTGACCAGGTGTGACCTGGTCAATGCCTCTCCTTTTATTTAGTCTTCTGAGGGTAACAGTGCTTTTAAGAAATGGCAGCCTAGAGTCTAAGGCCAGAGTTCTCTCTAAATTGGATTCTCCAAAAATAAATTTAATACTAATCTGGTTTTGAAGAAACAAAAGCACAGGGGCAAGCCCAGTTGGGAGTACAGATCCTGATGAACATGAATTTCCTAAGCCTAAAGAACATAGTCTTAGGGCAGCTAGATGGCACAGTAGATAGAGCACCGGCCCTGGATACAGGAGGACCTGAGTTCAAATCCAGCCTCAGTCACATAACACTAGCTGTGTGACCCTGGGCAAGTCACTTAACCCCATCTAGCCAAAAAAAAAAAAGAACATAGTCTTACATGGCAACTCTTGTTTTACAGAGGATAAGCACAGCGACCGGTGATGGCAAGCATTACTGCTACCCCCACTTTACATGTGCAGTGGACACTGAGAACATCCGCAGAGTGTTCAATGACTGTCGAGACATCATTCAGAGGATGCACCTTAAACAGTATGAACTCTTGTGATGAGGGTCACCGTGGAGCCTGTGGTTTTCAATTATCTGCTCCTTTCTCTTTCGCTCGCTCTCTCTCTCTCTCTCTCATTTCTCTGTCCTACCCAACACAGGATGGAAGAATATACGCTAGAGTACTTTGTTAGCCTCTGGGTCTGTTTACTTTGGTTATTTAGCCCTACCCACCCGTACCCCAGTGTTCATTTAGAGTGAATTTTTCTTTTATTCTTTCTGCTTCTTTGGGACTAGGTCCAGGTTTTCCTTCAGTATGCCACTCCTTTGTCATTCCATTAAGCCTTTGGCTACCTCCGTTTTCCCCTAGGATTTTTTTTTTAATTTTCAAACATAACCTGCTCAATTTTTCCAGTAGGTTATGTCAACATAAACTGGTGACTCATATCAGGTGGCACTACAGTCAAACCTCTGCATGTTAGGGGTCCTTTTTTTTTTTTAACATGACACTGAAGAGTACTTGATAGGTGAAAAGAATAATGCACTTTGTATCAGGTTATTAAATACTGTTGAGAAAGCATACACACAATGTAGCAGCACTATGATATTTATTATTCTATCACAGTTTTTAGCATTGAGTTGCAGGTTAACTAATAAAGTGGCCTCCTCTTTTAAGCCGTTTAGCAGCACAGGTCATAGAGTAGAGCCTGAGAGGCATGGGGAAGATGAGCAATTCTTCTGGGGTTTCATAGCAGAGTGTCCCTACACACCTCAGACTTTTGAATTAAAAGCTACTTCTAGCCTACTGCATCAAGGCAGAAAATCTACTCCTTCCTACCCTAAACCATTCTTTGTTTTGTCCACAAATGATCCTTTTAGCTTAGGTCATTCTTGGACACCAGTCCTCCCTCTCTATATATTTTTTTTTGGTTTTACTGCTGGTTTATTATATTGTACAGACTGTAAAATGTAATATTATTTTGTACAACTTTATTGAAGAAAATACTTGTAGAAGATCTTTGTGCCTTGATTATGGCTGTACCTGTAAACTGAGCTAAGATGTAAGTATGTTTTTGATTGCGCTGTACAGCTTGATGTCAGCCTTACCTGCAGCCATGACTGGAGGTAGGAACTTTATCTGTAGAATTTAGGGGTTTTCTGGTTTGTATTAAAAAAAAGTGGAATACACTTTAGTAAAAAAAAATTATATAAGTTATGCAAATTAACCACTTATACCTTTATGAATAAGGTCTTACCCAGTGAGAAGCTGTTGCAGCAACATGCCTTTCCTTTTGGGAGACTCAGCTTTGAAATATCGAATTCATTCGGGTCCAAATTGCAACCAGGTGTTGTCTCTCAATGGGAGGAACCAAGAATTTGTCTTTCCTCTCTACACTAAGTCTCATAATTCTTTGGTTCTTGATAATTTCACAATCACACAGGCAGATTGTGAACATGTAGAGCACCCTCGGATAAAGCTCTTAAACCTTTGTAACAATAGCAGATTTTACTGTGCAAGTAAATACAAGAACAAAATATTTAAAAAGGTGTAAACACATGTCTGACCTAAGAAAATTGCAAAATGACATTTTTATTTCTCTTTTAATAAAGAGACACATTAGAAAATTGTTTTATTTTAAATATTGTAGGATCAAAACGTGTGAATATTTCTCAAACTTGAATAATTTATGCAAATGACATTCTCAAAACAAGTTATGGTACAGTACATTATATAAAAAGCAAGAATTGTTGTAGCAATAAGGCATGTCCTTTTTAGTAACTATAACACTGCTTTATATTTTATACATGGTTGTTTTGTCTGTGTGAGTATATACACTTTTCCTGTGTCTGAAATAACCTGTACAAATGTCGAAAATTACAGTTGCAATAACAGAAACCTAGACAAGTGTTAGCCTACATTACTTCATCAATTTTCTTTACCAATACTTGGACTGTCTCCATCCTTTGTTTAGAATTTTAAGACTCACCCCATAAATCAGATTTTTATACCATATTTTTTAAAACCAATGCTCTCTTTTGCCCTGAAATTAAATGTCAGTAAATGCTCCTATTTCTTCATTTAAAATTAATTTTATGACATATAACAGCCTGTCTTGTATCCTCCTGAGTTTTCTCCCATCAGCATTATATTAACCCTACTGTTTCATAAGATATTTGGTCAGATTGATAGATGAAAAAGCAAAACCTACGTCCAAATCCCCTCACACTTCCAAGAAAGGGAGAAGACATGCAGCTATATTCTAGATGTCTTTCAAGAAACCAAAACTATGGAAAAACTGGAGAGGGGAGTAATTTCCCAAATAAAATGAACATCTATACTGTGATGTATATACAATATTTGCCTCTGACAGATTCCTTGAACACTATAATACAAGATTGCCTGTTTATAATGATAATAAAAGAAAAATCCAGGCTGCTTTAAAAACAATTATTTCTGGCTCAAAATGAAAAACACATCAATTTACCTTTTTATAGGCCATTTTTTCCAGTTTTCAGAAGTGTCTTTTTTGACCACTAGAAGGGGTTAAAGATTGTCTAGTAGAGAAATAATTATACCTATTTAAATAACAATAATAATCCTGTTTCAGCAGAGAAAAGTAGAATTCTACCAAACAAACAATATTTTCCTGCTCTCATAGAATCTAGAGGAGAATCTGCTTCCCCTTCTAGATGTACAGCTTTATAAAACTTAGGAATCTGAGGGAATGTCATACTAGAACAGAAGCCACACCCACTGATATGTACATACACTACTGCCAGTGTGTTTCTGGGTTGCAAGTTCCATCTGTGGAAGGTAGGAGTTTGTAGTGCATGCAAGTTATGAGGCTAATAGGACTTACATGTTGTACAGATACAATCTGAGTATACATATATTTGATAAAAATTATATAGCAAGAAAACAGTTCAATTTGTTGTAGGATACTTGTTACTTTTTTTTTACAGCATGAAACATTTCAATCAACTATTTATCCTGTAGTAATTCATATCAATTGTTTAGAATTTCTATGATGTGCATAAAAATGGATGACCTGCATTTGGACTTGTCCAGTTAGGTCATTCTCTGACATGAGTACAGCCTGAAGTTCAGTTGTTTTCCGCTTTGGTATTTGTTACTAAATGCAGAAATGTCCTGCTCTTCACATTGCCTTATGCTTTCTGATTACGTATCAACTGAATGAAATGAGATGAAAAGAAATGGTGGTGTTACACAGGCTGACAGTGAGTTAACATTAACAAAGCCACCAAAATACCTGCTATGCAGTAAATAGTCAGCACTGTATGCTCAAGTGGAAGGAAACATTTGGAGAGGGAATAATCTACTGATGTTATGCTGCCCTAAAAAAACAAACAAAAAACAAGAAACAGTCATGCAGTTGTTAGAACACAAGATAAAGTAATCTTAATACAATTGTTCTACTTTAGGAAGAACAGTAAAGTTAGCAGACTACTTGGGTTATTTCTTGACAGCTCCTATCCTGGGCAAAGAATAGGCTCATCACCACCGCAGTACACCAAAGGCATTTCCCTAAGGAGATACAAAGTTAGCCAGAGGTGATGAGTGCTCTCTTTTGTCTTGTACAAGATACCCCTGGTACTAGCCAGGAAAGGGCAATTAAGGACAAAGGAGCACCCAAGTGGATACTAAGATGGGAAGCTAACTTTGTTATTAAGACAACTTCCTAACATGCTAAACTTCAATTAAAAAAAAATTAAAGAGGGCACACCAGGAATTCAGAGAGGTACATGGAAAACTTGGACTAGAGAGCTGAGACCAAAGAGCATCACTGAAAGAGTGAGTAAGGAGGTTTTGTTTTATCATGCCACAAGACACTAAAATAAATCTGTTTACTTAGAATTACATGTTCTGGGGTAATCAAAGAAATTTTCCTTGTAGGCATTTTTGCTAAACAACAAACACCTTTTTTTTTAAGTTTGTGTACTTTGAACTTGGAAACAGGACATTCCCCATCTCACTATTAAGTGCAAATATTAAAAACGATGTATATTGTGCATTGGAACTGGCTGCTGGAACACAACCTTGACAAGAGAAGCTCAATTTCAGGTGGCCATTAATGTTAAGCCCTGGGCAGTGGCATACATGTCAACATGGAAAAGCGACGGCCCTTCACATCCTCAGCAGTGGCAAATGCACCAGTTTGGAAAGCAAGTGGATGAGATGGCCAGGAGTAAGTGATGAAGAAATTATCCTTTTTTCCAGTGGATGAAATCAACTAGGCAAAATAGTCTTTCTGCTGTTCTCAATGCATCTTTTAAAAAAAAAATTACACTGTACCCTCTTCAAAAGATGATCACTCCACTTTGCTATAGACTCCCTCTACTCACTCCCCACATAAAAACAAATTCAACTTAACTGAAGTTACCCTCTGAATGATGTCAGCTGGTTTGGCTCCCAGAGATAAGCTTATAAAGTGGGTGCAGTGTACTAAATTAAGTGTGCTGGGGGAATTCATGGTTTTTGTATATTTTTTACAGGTAGCAACAGTTAAATAGTTGATTACCCATGTTTATTTAAATATTTATGAAAGCTATTAGACAAAAAAATAAACTTTAACTTTACCATAATGAAACTAGGGTTGTTTCTGTTTCTCCAACTGAAAGATGGAACACTGATTTCAGGGATTTTTCCATCATGTAGCACTTCACAGGCACTGTGAGTATGACCACTCAGAATCAAGCGAGGTTGAAACCACCACAGAAGCTATATTAAAGAGAAAACAAAACATTACCTAGTGTTCAGAATATAGATAAGGCAAACCTCAGGATGGGATAGTTTCAATTTTAATTCAATGGCACTATGGAATTTTGCTATAAAATGCCATTAAATTAAATAAGTCTTTATTTCATAGGAAAAGATTTCATACATGCATCATATTCTTTAGTGTCCATTAGAGAAAATCTAGGCCTCTGGCCCTGGTCACATATTTCTGGGGACAAAAACATATTCATTCTCAGAAAATTCTTTTCAGATATGCTAAAAGAAGCTTAAGTACTGCAAAGGCTTTATAAGAAGATTGAGTAATATGTATGATTTAATATTAATACTATATCAATTTAATCAGTTCTGTTATAGAAAAGATGGGTTACTGTGATGAACTAAAACTTTGACAAATTGCCAGAAGTCTATCTTTCAGTCTGCAAAAAGAGCTGTCCTCCATTAAAATCTACTTAATATTAAGAAGATAAAGTGCTTGTTAAAAAAAAAAGAAAAGAAAGAAACATAACAAAGTTTGTGTGATGCTGAATACCACTAGAGTAAGTTATCAAACCTTTTGGGAAGCCTCTTTAGAAAGTACATCATATCTCTCTTCAAATAAGAGGTTCTTTTTCTCTGGAGGAGCAGAATCTTCCCCAGTGCAGTCAGCATCACTTCTCCGGTATAGAGGATAATGCTGTCCAAAAATTAAAGAGCCAGATCTGAGCTCAAGGAACCTTTTCACAGTTGATAACACACAAAGAAAGAAATGCCAGGCTATCCCATTCTTCTTACCTGGAGAAGGATAGGAGCTGATGCTGAAAGCTGTTGAATACCACTACACTTTGGGCTGGAATGGTACTTCTCCTAATGGTTAAAAAAATAGCAATAATAATAATCATGCTAGTGGCCAGGCAGTGTTGTGGTTAAGAAGAACAAGTCTACTATGTTTAGCATAGAGAAAAAGCTATATCAATGAGGTGGGATACATAGGATTACTATGTTATTATCATTGATCCTTACCTGTCTGGAGCAATTCAGTAGGTGAGATAGTTTAATGAGTTGGGCTTCCATTGAAGAGCAAATAGTGCAGCCATCTCCCTCCATTGCCACACTATTCACCATCACAAAACTGAAATGGTTAAGAAGAAAACAATATTTTCATTTCCCCCCAAAATTCTACTACTTTTTTAATAAACCCACCACTCACAGAATTTCACAAAGAAATAGCAAACACAGGACTCAAAAAAGTTAGTATAATAAATGTGAAGGATGTTTTATTAGGGCAGAAAAGAGGATTACTTATGCTAGCAAAAGGATGAGTAATGTTCTTTCACTGAGAAAAAGGTTAATTAGGAATGATGTTGATTCCTGCCAGGGCAAAATGGTTTCTTTTCTTTCCCTGTTAGTATCACATATACTTTGTTGTATAGTACTAGATAAGAGATTTGGAGCTAGAAGGGATGTCAGAGACCATCTAGGTCAAACTCTCATTTTACAACTGAAGAAACTGAGGCCCAGGAAGATAAAGTAACTTGCCCAAGGTCACAAAAGCAGGAAGCATCAGGGACAACATTTGTACCCAGGTCCTCTGACTCTCCACTCAGTATACTTTCCACAATACACAGCCTTTTGAAAATGTTTGGGGGGGGGGCCGCTAGGTGGCGCCGTGGATAGAGCACCAGCCCTGAAGTCAGGAGGACCTGAGTTCAAATCTGACCTCAGACCCAACACTTGACACTTACTAGCTGTGCAACCTTGGGCAAGTCACTTAACCCCAATTGCCTAAAAGCCAAAAAAAAAAAGAAAAGAAAATGTTTTGGGGTTTTTTTTTAACCTTTTCTTTCCTTTATTTGCCAGTTTGAAAAAGAATGCCTTCCAGGAAGCATTAAAATTCAAAAGACAGAAGAAATGGAAGATCAAACCCCAGCTGGATAATTGAGTATAAATATCAATAAAATATAATAAGAAATTAATAAAGCAAAAAAAAACAAAATAAAACAAAATTCGGTTCATATTTTAATGGCTGCTCAACAAAGGAACTATCAATTACTTCAAAATATTCTCTTTGAGCTTACAATGCCCTGGATCTATGATATCAACAAGCATTTATTAAGGCCTTGCTATGTGCTGGACACTCTGCTAGACACTGAGAATTCAAATATAAAAAACACCCAGTCCCTGACCTCAAGGAGCTTATATTTTATTGGGAATACAACATGTCCACCCACAGTTACACATTAAGCACCATTAAGGATAGCATTATGAATCAAAATCTTCCCATTGGAAAGATTTTTAAGCCCCAGCAAGTGACTGAATTATCTCACTTATAAATACAATGAAATCCCAATATAAAAGATTTGTAATAATTCCTAGAAGTTTACTATAATGGAGTTTGACCCTTATATTATTACATGCTTTCTCCTCAGAACAAATGAAGGTCTATTCTCAAGAGTGGACAAAGTAGCTATAGCAGTCATGATATGGAGTTCTTGTTTTGACCTAAACAATGAAGGAAAGAAGTGACTTTTTGTCAGCTACCATAACAAGTAGATTGTTGATACTGAATAAAATTAATCTCTTTCATATGCTTCTGATCATTATTAGAATTCAGACATCTAGGAATTTATTTTACTATCTTAAGATATTATCTGAGGTAAAATACAATCCATGTTCAACTTTGCATACTAACATAGAAGACTAGTGAAACAATGGATAATTTAAAAATGAATTAGACATATACAGTTTTATAACAGATTTGCCTTCCTAATTAGGATTTTTCTTAGGCTAATGTTAAAATTAGCCTGAGTTCCCTAATCATACATCAACTGAGCAGTGAGAGAAAGCCTAGATGCACACTGGACAGTGAGGAGGAAAAAGCCTAAAATTAAAACTACTTTGCACAGACTCTAGATGGCTCAGGCCTGAAGTCATGAAGATCTGAGTTCAAATGTGCTCTCAGACACATACTAGCTGTGTGACCCTTGGCAAGTCACTTAACCCTATTTGCCTCAGTTTCCTCACCTGTAAAATGAGCTGTAGAAGGAATGGGAAACTACTCTTGTAACTTTGCCAATAAAACCCCCAAAGGGTTAACAAAAAGCTGGACACAACTGAAAAACAACTGAAGAACAACAAACAGAAAGTCCACATGTTGGTAGTAAAGAACTGGCTTATACCCTGACAGTATTTGAAAAATGATGACTATTTAATAAGAAGCCTCACAAAGTCATTGGGGGCAGAGGGGAGAGGAATAACCCAAATGGTAATTAATAAATGATGGGTTATAAATGTCTATTTCACCTAAGAAAAAGGACCTGGGGGTCACTGTCGACTATTCCGTAGTTTCAGGCCCCAGTGTGCTATCCCAGCAAAAATACAGTAAAATAAAAACCTAACAAATTTCTGGGCATAATGAAGGGATATATTAAAATAGAAAACTCTTTATTACAATTGTGGAAAACTATGTCATATCTACATTTAGAATACTACATGCACTTTCATTCAGTGCACCTCAAAAAAAATAATAGAACTCAGAAAGGTCAAGAAAAGTACAATAAAACTATCAAGGAGAAGAGAAATCACTATATGTGGATATGAATTATCATTGTTATTATTAATGATAATAACAGCATACATACAGTCCTTTAAGGTTTACAAAGCACTTTATGTTATCACATTTAATCCTCACAAAAATCCTGCAAGGTGGATGTTATTATCCCCATTTTATGGATGAGGAAACTAAGACAGAGATCAAGTAATTTGCACAGGATCACACAGCCAATTAAGTGTTTAAGATGGGATTTCAATTCAGGTCTTCCTGAATCTGAAAATTCTTTCTGCACCACCTAGCTGCTTCTAAAAGGGAACGTGATCCAAATGTATAAAGTCATCAAGGGCATAAAGAGTTGGTCACCAAGTCCCAGAATACTAGACCTAGTGAAATATATCTTGAAATAAGGAGATAAATTACAAACAAATAGAGGAAATGTCACTGTACATAAGTATATAGTTCCTCCAGAGTCATGATCCTTCCCACCACTACCAGAGACAAAATTGGGCTGGATTACTCACAGATCTGACCCAGTATCCAGCAACATTTACTAAGCCCTCAATTAGCCATATTGTGCTAGGGACTAAGTATACCAAGTCTTACAAGGAAAATTGAGTTTATAGAAAATAAAGAACTTAATAAGTATTTGTAGCATAATACTTACTTAATCCCTTTAATAGAAAAAAGTTCCCCAAAATCAAAAACCTTCTTAAATCGTTGTAGTTTATAAGTGTTCATCCTGTATTCAGTTTTTTAGGGGAGAAAAAAGGTACTTTTTATCAGGAGCCATAAACATTATAAAACATTGTAAAAGCTCAATGCTATAGGAAACTCTGATAGATTTCATTTCTATAGGATTTTGGAGGCAGAAAGGACCTCAGAGGCTCTGTAGCCCAATCCTCATTCCATATCTTAGAAGAAATCCCCAATACAACATCTCTAGCAAGTGGACATCAAGCCAGCCTCCCTTTGAAGACATCCAAGTCAACTATTCTATTTCTTAACAGTTGTACTTATTTGAAACAAAAAAAAATTGCATGGAACAGAAGAAATATGTTTGCAACAATATTTCTAGCTCTGTCTTTTGTGGTCAAGCAAAAAAAAAGTCTAATCTATCTTCTGTAGTACTTGAGTTGTACTTGTTCTCCCTAAATCCTCTCTTCTCCAGAGTAAACATTCTCATTTCTGTCATGCATTCCTCATGTGGTGTGGTCTTCGGGTCTTTAACACTATCATGGTCATCCTTCCCTCAACACAATACTGCAGATATAGTCTGACCAGGACTGTACAGTAAGAATCACAGCATCACAAGGCCTCTATCTTGTACTTTTCAAGGAATTTTCATCTAAATTATTTCACTGCATCCCAGGGAAAATTGCATTGCTATTAAATGTACATGTGAAATAATATTAACCAGAATGCGTAACCTCTTTATTTCTTCCTTTAAAAAAAAGTCTAACATTTTGTGTGTAGCACAATTGAGACTTTTTACACAATAGTTACACATTACTCTCTCAAATTTCCTGCCTGTCTTGGCACACCAGTACCATGAGTACTTACTCATAATGAAAGCCAATATCATGGTTGCCAGCAACCACTATGAGTTGTGTGTGAGGTGGATGTTGAAATACTCTCCGGAACCTTTCCACATCAGCAGCCCAAGCCTGATGGAGTAAAAAGACCCACTGATTTGCATTTAGGTTAAGAAATATGATCCTGCTATGAGAGGACAATTCTGTCCCAAAGCAGTCTAGTTTAAAACTCAGAACCCCAGATATTGACTTTTTCTAATGTACTTCTTTCTAACATTCTTGATTAACAGCTTATTTAGTCAGTCACTGATTATTAATGAAAAGGTGTCCCTTTGTAGCATTTTTTAAAATTTTAACCAGCAGTTCCCCTGCCCCCCAAAAAAGGGTTTGATTCTGAAAGGTATCTCATAAAATATTAATGTTGTAAATGCCTTGTTAAGAACAAGCTCTTGGAAGATGCTCAGTGATTTCTCCCTCCATGACTGGGCCAGAATAAGCAGAACATCTTTTTCCATAAAGCATCAGAATTCCTTTTGTGTGTAGTTGTGGAAAGGAGAACCAAGAGAAGTCAGAAGTGAAATGGTGGTTGAAGATTGAGGAGCAAATGAAAATCATTTCAAGACCATCTTAATACTAAATCTGAATACTTAATCATGCAGGAGTTTTGAAAAGTGTATAGAGAAGTGTTTTTTTTTCTAAGTCTAAGCAAAAAATTAATCTGGACAAATTTCTTAGTAAAAAATGATATACTGCCAAGCGGACTGGTAACCTCATTTGAAGGTGACCCACTATAGGAAAATAAAGTTGATTCTTGTGATGATTTTCAAATGAGGTGATTCTTAACTGTTGTTTTTTTTAAACTCACTTTGTCAAAGTATGTTTTGTAAGAATTCCCTGAAGCTAGGAAGGCAGCAGCTTTATGTGCATCAGCATACATCCCTTACCTCCTTTTATAACTGAGCCTTCTAAACTGTAGTTAAATTGCTTAGGGAGAATTAAAGGGGCACAAGGTGAATTTGAAAGTTCTTCCAACACATTACAATAAGCTACTGGTCAGCTCCTTGCTGCTCACCCAAAAACATCAGAGCACTTGTAAAATTTACTTGGTGAAGGGTATAGGTGAGGTGAAAGTGGGACCATTGGTGCACAATGCTTCTCTTTAATCAACGTGCAAATATCATTTTAACATTTATTGCAAAAAGTTGTTAGCAAAATATTCTCGTGCCCAGTGTGAGAACAGTCAGACCCAGTATGTGAAAAACTCTAAGTTACTCTGGTCCTGCTGTAGATTTTTCTTGGGGGAAGGATCCTATGGAGTGATTAAAGGAACCCCAAATCTTCCATTTTTTCCTTCTGATGTGGAAAAATAAAAGATTAACAGGAGATAAGACTAGGGAAGCTACTTTTATAAGTGCAGTTTATTTGATTAATTGGTTACGTAAAATAGTCTGGAAGATAATGTACATTTCACCACATGCACTGACAGCCCCATCATAGTGGTAGTGACATTTATCTTGAGGAACTCTGTCTCCTGAGGTTTATAGGTATACATTACACAGAAACTATGTAAAGTGCAGGTAACTCATACACCCCAAATTTAACAACCAGTAGGGTTGATATAGGACCAACCAGTCCCACCCAAGCAGATTAACATAAAATCCAAGTCCTAAGAATCTTCAAGATATCCTTTCCCATTTCATGTTATTTAACAACAAAAAGTAGAGCTGTATGTCTTACCTCAGGGGAACTCCATTTCCCTTCATCAAAGACATCCCCCAGAATGAAGGCAATCTCTGGCTGTAGGAACCATAGGGCTGTTTGAAAGGCCCTTTCCATTTGCCACTCCCTTTGAGAAGGGAAAGATCATTAACCCATTTTCAGGTAGAATTTATAACTAAATTCTGGATTAAAGCTCTAGGAAGGGGCAAGGGAAGCAAATTGGAACAATCTAATTACACCTCTACCCTCCCCATCAACTCCTTCCAACTTCAGAAGGATGAAGAGGGAAAACGGCCAAGAATCTGATGCATCTTATCAGAACTAGGGCAAGAATGAAAAGCACCATAAGAAGTTCTTAACTGCCACAACCTCTTCACCTCAAGTCCTGACCTCTCTGCAGTGTTCACATACCACACTGTCCACTGAAGCAAAACGTACTGAATAGTACTCTAGTCATCTGATGGAAGTTAATTCAGCTTCAGAGAATGCCTATTTTAGATCGTCAGCACCTAGTCTCTATCAAAATCTGTTCTCATTGAAGAGGCCTTCCTTTGATCTAACTGGACAAAAATAGTCAGAAGATGGTAGAAGAAAGAAATTAGCAAGAAACCAAATCCTATAGATGTCAGATACATAAAAAAGCACTCGGGGTATAAGGCTTCACTGTCTCTCAAAGAACTTGGCCAATATTATTTTTCACATCTCTTAAACTCCTCTGTAGTCTCCCTAAGATCCCCTAATTCTAAGGAGTGTTCTTATATGCCTAACCTGTTTTGCAACAATAAGGTGCAAATTCAGATCCCTTGGTATGCCAGCAAAATAAATTCTTTTGGACAGGGCACTTGGGCCCTTTAAATCCCAGCACAGACATCTCATTGCTCTTCCTAGCTACCACCCACAGCCAACCATGCATTGTTACGTCAGTCGCGGTGCCTCTCAAAGCTAGTGGTTTTTTAGTATTTCTTGGCTCCAGGTCTTCCACACCCGAGGAAAAAAGAACAGAGAAGCAGCATCAGCAAAAGAAAGACTTCCAAGAAATATTGGGGGGAGAGGGGTTGGTAATTAGTAAAGCAGAAAGTAAAATTACATTGTCCAAAAAGAAACAAAGTGTGACTCACTCTCTGGCCCTACCCTAACACACTCCATTTTGGGGACTTTCCACTTCCATCACCTCTTCTTTCTCTTATCTCTCATCTTCCCTTTCCCCAAATATACTCTCCACCCAACAAGAGGTATCAACTACAAAGTTGGAGAATACAGAAGGAAAGATCCAGGATAAAATAGAAGAAAAAGGCAGTAGTCTCCATGTAGTACAGGACTAGCAGATCTGGTTCTGGCAAAAAGTACAGATAATTGAAAGGGAAAAAGCCATATCTGCTGCATTAAAGTTGAGGCCTCCTTCTAAACCTCATCCCCTCACACCACTATCCCCCAGAAAAAGTATTAACAGGGAAATGTGTCTGAGAAACTTCCTCCAGTCCTGTTCCTAATGTGAATTTGCAGACTTCCAGCAGCAGCTCTCTTCAGATCCATCTTTTACTCGACTGAGAGCAAAATGCAAGCATACTCAGGATACAAGGAAACAGATAGATCACGATGGAGGACCCTCAGGAATGGGTCTGCTTGTTTCTCTGCCAGTCAACTCACCAGAAACTTGAACCCAGTGGAATAATTAGTGTATTTGTGGACTGGCAAGGATGTATCTTTAATCCCTAATGTCTAGCTTTTGGAAGTAAGGCTGAGGAGTTCCCTAAAGCCAGAGATGTTTGACCAGATTGTTGAGAGGGATGATGACACTTAGCAGTGCTACATCCTTAAAACTATAGAATTTCAAAAGGGTTTCTGAATTTTTGTTCCTACCGTCGTAATTTGTCCAACCAATGTCCATTTATTTCCCCAAGCAAGTGGGTATCAGCTAAAAACATAACCTTCAGCACAGGTTCAGGAGTCTGTTGTTTGCTTTCAGAAGCTATAGTTTTCACTTCTGGCCAGTGACATTGAAAGATCACTAAATAATAAATTATATATTCACAAAACACAATCAGAGCAAAGACAAGAAATCCAAATTTCAAAAAGAACCAGCTCTTCCTCTTAAAGCGAAGAAAATTCAGAGTTCTAGATAGTGATCTATGTTTAGTCATTTCTTCTGTCCAAAGGAATATGCCTCAGTGACAAAGGTCCAAATCCATTTAGAATTTTCCTTACGAAAAGTATCCTCACTGAGATATAGTATGCAGATTTGAATAGAACACCTGAAAGAATCAGAAGAAAGGAATTTTAGACCCAGTAATACATGTTTTCTTTTACTTAATTAAGTGCAATATTCTTGATGGGAAGGGTAGAAGTGTAATTAGATTGTTCCAATTTACTTCCCTTGCCCCTCCCTAGAGCGCTAATCCAGGATTTAGTTATAAACTCTACCTGAAAATGGGCTAATGAACAGAAAAATAAAATATTAACAATCATTACCCTGTTTTTTACTTTACTATGATGCCAGATTACTAGCAAGGATAACTAGTTTTCTGCTTCTATCTATGCAACTCTTTGTGTATATATTCAAGTACCCCAGAGATGGCTCTCATAGGAGGACTGAAAACTGTTCCTATTATAAACTTGAAAATGTGGACAATAACCACAAATGTCATACCAAGCTAATCATGACAGAAGACTGAAGAAAAATACCTCTGCCTGCAATGAAAAATTCTTAGAACCACTTAAAGTGGGCAGGACTTCATAATGCTCAGTTTCATAGCATCCAACACAGGCTTTACCCTAAGTATTACCTTTACCACTTATCTTAAACCATTAACTTAGGTTCTTCCTTAAAACCATTTCATGATTCCTTTTCCTCCAAAGGCTTTCATGGTCTGTAGTAATTTTGGCCTTTCTGCATACAAGATGATATATCAATTAAAATGAAGGTTGAATACTACAGCCTAACATTATCATTGGTGTAGCTATAATTATTTTATGGAAAGTCACAAGCTATAAAGTTCCAGTGGCCCAACTGCCCCAAACGAGAAGTGTCTCTGAAAAGGTGGAAACATATGCTACATGTAAACAGGGATCTTCTTTCTAGTGCCATATAACTAATGAGCTTTAATACATATACCATGTCCCCCAGATGGGGCACAGGAGACGGTGAAGAGTCAAAGGGGGATAGAGCCAGAAGACGCTTCTGTAGATGTTCTGGCATGACTCTTTGGCAATCTTCAGCACCTTCATTATAATGATACATTTAACTTTCTTTCCCAGAGAATGAAATAATAAATTAGGTTTTAACTGCGCCTGTAAGATGCCCATGTGTCATCTGGAATAAAACAACATCCCTAGACTCATAGCCAGAAATTACACAATATCTTTGGTGATACAAACAAAACAAACACCAGATCATCTGGCAGAACTTGGCTAAGACTTCCGGTGGTCCATCACATCCTTCTAACATAGCATCCAGATCATCCTATGGTCTTTCTCTAATCCTGGGCTGTGTCTATAACATAAAAGTAACATTACCTCTTGACAAATATAATCAATAACTGATAGAAGTTTCTTTTTACTTATAAATCAAGGCCAAGAAAAACAGTTTTTCTATTGTCTTCTACCCCTATAACCAAATTTTAGCATGAATCCAAATAACCAGAAGTAAGAATGCTCTGACTGTTCAATACAAGAACACTAGGCACAGAAAAGGATGGGTCATTAAACTACACACAGTTTAATGAAAGTGTTCCTTAAGAACAAATTTCCTTTTTTTTCCCTACTTCTCCATTGAGAATCTTTTGATTTTCAACTTTCCCCCAGAAGGCCTGGAAACTACTTGAAATTCTGAAAAGAACAGGATAAAAAAATAGAAATCCCTAGAACCTTCTGCTTTGCAAGGAATAAAGAGTCTGACACTTCTGGTGCTATTTGGCCTATGTGGCTAGTATCTCAGCCCTTATAACTTTAGAACCTCTAGTCTTTCAAAAGGTCATCAGAGAGACAGCAAAACATACATCTTCACTACCTTTGGGGGAAATGTCTTCAAAGACCTGATTGTGATCATCAGATCATAAGATTATAGAATTGGAATTAGAAGGGAGAAATCATCTAGTACTCTCCCCTCATTTTAAATATGAGGAAACTGAGTCACAAATAAGTAAAGCAACTTGGGCACTGAATCTACCCCAGGTCAGCCAGCCCTCCCTTTGACATTACCCTCCCCCCAAACACACCTCAGATTCAGAAACCACTACTACTGAGTGCCAGAAACATAACTGAGGAGGGGAGTAAGCTGAAAGTAAGCCAGTCTCTCTGGGTACTACTCTAAATTGAAGTATAGGAATGAGATGGGACACAGTGTCCAGCTATATCTACCACAAGACTCAAATGAACCAAAAAGTGGAGATAAATTTTACTTACACACACATACACACACACAGACTTCAGTTTCTGGTCTAACACTGTCCTAGGCACAAAACCTATGAGTAGTACCACTGTTAAGTGTCTGGATGGCCATTCCCACAAACTTCTGGGTTCTATCAAAACAAATCACATATGAGACAGTTGAAGGGGCTTCAGAGGTAGAAGGAAGTATTGCTGTCAGATAACGATATATTTTTAGTTGGTTGTGCTTAAATATTCTGCTTTTTTCCTTTGATATAAAAAATTTTTCAGGTCAATGGGGTGTAGAGAATGACATGTCAATTAAGGGAAATAAATACAGTATAAAAATAAAAAGCAACAATAAAAAATTTTAAGGAGGAGGGGGGAGAATGAGGCTTCAGAAGAAGCTAGATAAAGTAGCCTTAGCAAGATTTTTTTTATTTTTTTAATTTATTATTTTTTTATTTTCAACATTCACTTCCATAAGATTTTAAATTTTGAATTTTCTTCCTCTCCTTCTCCTCCCCCCTCCCCAAGACAGCATGCAATCTGATATACGTTTTACTTATGCATTCATATTCAATATATTTTCCACATTAGTCATGATGTAAAGAAGAATTAGAACTTGAGATGAACCATGAGAAAGAAGAAACAAAACAAAATAACAAAAGAAAAGGAGAGCAAATAGTATGCTTCCATCTGCATTCAGACTCCAAAGTGCTTTCTTTGGATGTGGACAGCACTTTCCATCGTGAGCTTTTTGGAGCTGTCTTTGATCCTCCCTAGCAAGATTTTTAAACGTCACTCTCCATAGGTTCCCCCAGAGGCTTTGAACCTTCAACTGTAACATATACAACCACATTTATCACAAAGTAAATATCAAGAACAGACTTTTGACATTGAAATATGTGCATTTTTTAAGACAACAGAAGAAAAACACTGCTTATACAGTATAGAACTGCCACTGGTTAAGCGGTGAAATTTACCCAAAAAAGTTTTTTACATTCATGACTGGCATAAATGAACCTCAGAAAAGCCCTGTCATTACATGAAATAGTTTTCTGGGATTAACATGACTTTTAAAAAAAAAACTAATCCAACTTAACCTCTCTCAACCTCAGTTTCCAGATAATACCTGCCAATTCCATTTCCTTAAGCAGCTTCTGAGAACCAAATCTAACACATTTCCCTGAAAGACTGAGCACAATTTGCATTTGATAGCATTTATCCAACTCCTTGCCACCTTCCCCCTACTAATCTATAATCATCATTCCAAGTGCAAAACACATTCATGCTTTATCACCTTAGCAACTTCTATATTTTCTTCATTGTTGTGGTCCATAGGATGCTTGGTATTCCCTCTGCAAAAAGAGGAAAAAGTGGAAATTAGTTCTTCTTAGAGAACTTTAGATAAGAATGGGATAGTGGACCATCTGTTATTCCTTGTCCTCCCAGGCAAGAATGAAACTGAGAAAGTCTTGGCTTCATGGTATATTCCCACCCTGTAACACTATTCATCACTATCAAACCAATATATAAAGAAACAATGTCACTCCTACTTCGTGACTAGTGATTGGTTCAAATTCTAAATTACTTTCTTTCCAGAGTAAAATGCTAACCAAACATTGAGGAGCAAACTGCTGCCTCATTTTGAGCCACAGAGTCTACAGGAATCCACCAAAACAAATTCATTATGGAATAGTATAGTCATGTCACCTATACACTTTCCTCTCTGAACAGGATACAAAGAAATACCACAGTTTTTTTGATTGCAGCCTTATCTGACATTAAGCAACTTCACACAAAACACCTAATGAACACTAAATTCTCTCTGGACTTTTACAGTATTCCAAATTCTCTTCATATATGTTTCATGGAAAATTATTTCATAAACATATCCATGTATTTACATAGCCCATTACCACAGTCATCTTAATAACTATCTTGGTAGTCTACTCTTAGGAACAACAAGCAGACAGGGGGCAGCTAGGTGGCACAGTGGATAGAGTACCGGCCCTGGAGTAAGGAGGATCTGAGTTCAAATCTGGCCTCAGATACATAATACTCACTAGCTAAGTGACTCTAGGCAAGTCACTTAACCCCAACTGCACACACACACACACACACACACACACACACACACACACACACACACACAAAGGGAACAACAAGCAGAGATAATAAACCTATGGGTTTACTGACATATCAGGTCCAACTAAATGACAGTAAAAAGGAAGCCTATGACCTCTTGAAACTGGGTAAAATGTCCTGATGGCATAAGAAAATAACAGCTACTAAATTTTAGACACCCTGGAATTTGTTGCCATTACTGATAGATTTCTTAGTCTCCCATGTGCACCATTCCCCAGGTGTCACTCTTTGTGTCCTCTCATATCTAAAACTGCTCAGAATCCTAAAATCTGAGTCTGAAGGGACTCAATAGGTTCTTAGGTCCCCTTTGTACATGAATAGAAATCCAGAAATCCCCTTTATAACATTCCAGGAAATGACCATTTGGGTTCTGCTTGAAGACCATCAGTGATAGGGAAATCAATTACCTCCCAGAGGTGGTGGACTCTACTTTTAAGCATCCCTAATTGAACATTTCCCCTTATATTTAGCCTAAATCTGTATCTACAATTTCCACCCCTTGCTCCTCAATCTACTCTCTGGGCCAGCTAGAACAAGTGCCCTCTCTCTTCTTCATGAGAAGCCCTAAATCCTTTAAGTGAGCTCTCAGGTCACCCTCAATCTTTTCTCAAGGCTAAATACCTCCTGTTCTTTCAAGAACTCACTCCCGTCCCTTCACCAACTTGGTCACCCTCCTCTGAATGCAAGTCAACTTATCTAGGTCCTTCCTAAAACATAAGCTCCCAAAACTTGTTCTACCACCTCCCTCATTCCAGTCACACTGCCTCCCTTAATCTAGCCTAATATTGCATCAGCCTCATTAAATTTGGTTCTTACATCACCTTTTCCTGACATCCCTGATTCAGGTCAAATTGTATATTCTTCAGATTAAAAGGCCAAAGATTGATGATCCACAACTACTGAGCTTAACTGAAGCTATTACCCTCTACCACTGTTAGCTTTACAGGCTAATAGAAGGAAAAATAATGAAATGCCCACTCTTCACTATGCCAAGTGACATAAGTTTCAACCTTACTTATGTTCAGTTTATAACAATATGGTACTGGACCTGGAGCTACAAAGACATGGGTTTGAATCTTGCTTCAAACACTTACTAGCTGTGAGACCCTGGACAAGTGACTTAACTTCTCTCAGCCTTAGTTTCCTCATCTGTAAAATAGAGATAATAATACTTGTAGTATCTATATCACAGAATTGCTCTGAGGAGAAAATGAAATACTGTTAGTGATTTGCAAACTTCATTTGTCAGTTACTTTTATTACCTACATCTGGGGGCAAATATGACCATCTACCCATTTCACACCCCATCCCCAAATATAAACTGTTTGTTTAAAATAAGTAATAATAAATGCTTTATCTTACCAAGAGAAAATAGTATTTATCCATCCTAGCTCATTAGATTGGAAAATTAGTAGGTAAGTCAGAATATGGTATAGGTGCCTATATGTTTTATGTATGTATATATATATGTATGTATGTATGTATGTATATGTGTATGTGTACAAACACACACACACACACACTGCCCCCTATAAATGAATGACAAATTTTTAAATCACTCTTGGTTTTCCAGAATTTCCTTTGTTTTTGTTTTTTTGCTGTGTCTAGATAGTGAGAGCAAAATTAATAAAACACAAATTAAGATTCCTTAATATTATAAAAGGTAAACGCAACATAAAGTCTGAAGGAAAAAGAAAACACAAAATTTAACTTACTAATGAAAATTATTGAAATAAACCTTGAAGTTGAAAGTCCTCAGTGGACTCCAGATGAACTGTTCTTATTTTTAAAAATATTTTTGAACTTACTAAATTCATTAGTTTAGGATGAGAGGTTAATATTAATAACTAAAAATAAAATCGCAACTTGCCAACAATATTTCAAAATTAAAAATAGAAAATTATCATTTTAGATTCTATACTTCTATCTCTTCCCTCATTCCCACAAAAAGAAGAAGAAGAAGACTAGGGCAACCACAGCAAAATTTTGGCTCTTTTCCCTCTAATCTACCTGTTTTCTGACACCTCTTTAATCTACCAGAACAGAGGAAACACAAAATAGCAGATAAGCTTGCAATTATTTATACATCAAACTCTTCTAAGATTTTTGCACACACAAAAAGTTTAGATCTAAACTTGTTTGCCTTTCTTTTACTAACAACTAACTAGCAACTAACATTTGATTTTTATACTTCACTACCAGAATAACACTAGCACAGTCACGACTAGGTCTTGCTATACAGGGCTCTATGAACCAAGACAATTTTAACACTGTAACACAAAACTATCTGACCTAGATTTACTCCGTTTTCTGTTACATATCACAGGTTAGAACTTCATTCTAACAAAACCTTAAATTTTGGATTTTAGATAGATTTTTGAATGACTAAATGTATTCTAACAAGCCTTTGATTTGATTTTCAGCCAGTCTTTCCTAAACGCTTTTCTCCCAATATACAAATAAGTAAATTAAACACAGACAAGAGAATGTAAAGAAATACCTTAGCATAGACAGCAGCTGTACAACAAAATTAAGGATATAGAGGCAAGTTTAAGCAGAAAAAAACACAAATTATGGATATATAACTTAAAGGGCAAGATACTTTAATATCACTCCTTAACAGAGGCAGACTTGGGCACTAGAAAGATACCTAGCCTTGGAGTCTGAAAAATCAGGATTTAAGACCTGTGTCAGATTCATGCTGGTTATCTGACTCTGGGCAGGTCTTACTTAAAGAAGCAGAGAAGGTGCTGACCAACATGGGTAGAGGAAATTCCCTCCTCCAAGAGTCCCAATAGCAATGAAATTACAGGTTCAATCTCCCATTTTAACACGACCATTATTTTTTTTCCTCAAATTTGGCAAGAAGACAAATTCTGGTAAATAAGTCTGTGTGGTTTTGTTTGCTGGATTTTCTGGTTTGTATTTAAAAAAAAAAGCTATTGGCACCAAAACATCTGTAAAGAAAGAAATTCATTTGAGACCTGGGCAAGATTGAATTTTTAAAAAGCAACCATGAGAAATGTACTTGGTTTCCCTGTTATATTAAAAGAAGTTCAAGAAAATGAGTCTACACTTTCTTTTATGTTCCTCTACTCTTCGAGTCTTTTTTTTTTTGCATGCTTAGAAGATTGTTTCGAATTCCCCCCGCCCCCTTCCTTAGTCCCTAACAATGCCCCTCCGAGAGACGAGGTTCTGGGAGAGGGGGGAATTGGGTAGGAGAAGGGGCAGAGATATTCTTAAGATTCCTTAATATTATAAAAGGCAAACGCAACATAAAGTCAGAAGGAAAAAGCAAAAAGCAAGGTCAACTTGAAGATTAAGAGAAACCCCCTACAAGACCCAGAAGGAAGGTTGGCGGCCATGTGGCTCCGGGACGAGCAGCTGGTGAGCAGGAACTAGACGGCTCCGTCCTGGGGGAGGCTCAGTGCTGGGTTTGCTCAGTGCAGACCAAGTAGTGAATTTCCGGATGACGATGCAGAAAAGCAACAACCAAATAATCAATTACAAATCTACTTATGAAGTGGAAGCCTGCTCATCTCCGGACTTCCGTACAACTCTTCATTTCATTGGCAGGGTTGAAGCTAAGGTCGGTGCTGACTGGTCGCTTTGTTTTCTGCAGAGGGTCCGGGCGGGCTTGCAGGACTCTGATTGGCGAGTGTCTCCTGGCCGTCCGCGGCGAAGGCTGGCCCACAGAACTGTACTGGTGGGTCTGCAGCTGAAACTAAGAAGCAAGCCCTTTGGGGTGTATCGCAGCCAGGGACGGCATCTTTTGCTCACTACCGAGAAAACTGCTAGTTAATCAACTTACAAGTGCTTGGCCGCAGCACAGGATTCATTCGTCCTCTCATTTAACAGGCGTTTAACAAGCGTGGTATGAGCTATAGACTGCAGGACACAGAAAGATATAGAAGACAAAGGTCTCTGTCATTAAATTTACAAGCCAGGGATTATATAGAAGACAAAGGTCGCTGTCTTTCCATTTACAAGCTAGGGACTGAAGTAGCACAATATGATTTGTTTGTAGCATAATTATTTGTCATATTTTCCCCTTAAAAATTTAGTGCTAATGTAGAATTGTGTTGAAAAACCACACGAAGATAACATAGGGAGTTTCTTCGGGAATTTCGCCAAATTTTAAACAAGCTGATCGAGGTCAAGTTCCCAAAATACCCAAATTGATCTGTGATTTCATCCATAGGGATGTTCCCTAAAATGATGCAGGTTGCAATCCATATATGGGTGCCTCTGCCAAGTCCATGGCAGACGAGGGAGCCGAGGAGATTTCTGCTCGGCGTCAAAATGACATTTGGGGTCAGGGGAAGTGGATTCAAAACCTGCCTCTGTCATTTGTTACCCCTGTGACTCGGAAGCAAGATATTTAACCTCACAGGTATCAGTTTCTTCATCTGTAAAAGATTGGATTAGGTAGCCTCCAAATCTGTGGTCCAATATGGCAATCCCATTGGTTCAAACCAATGGCATTAGAAGAAAGACGCCCTAAACGCTCAGGAGTACCCCTAGCCTGTAAAAGGAAAATATTGCCATCTGTGGTCTGAGACCCTGACCTGACAGTTTGAGTGGAAATTAGGATAAGGACCCCCTGCAACATCATAAAGACTACAAGAATGCCTAGCAGTATAGTTAAATCAAGGGGAAATAAAGTTCAATTTCTAAAAATTCTATTTATATGTATCCCCTTCACCAAAGGAGCTACAGAAGAGTTAAGGTTGGTGCGTAAAGGATAGAACAGAAATCCTAAGTGTTTTCTGATCCAAGGATAGATCATTAGAACCTGTTCCTGAGAAAGACAGTCACCTTCTCTTCTTGACCTGAAGGAGAGGGAGAGCAGTCCCATGTGCAAGGAGGGAAGGATGCGAGAGGAGAGTCTGATACTTACTGCTATGGCCTCAAACTGAATGAGAACAAATTTTCAGGAAATAGAATGGCAAAACACCAAAGAAAAAGATTGTAGCAATAACTGGGTCTGTTAGTCAACAACAGTGGTGAAACTCCTGCCTTCTGGCCTCTTGATTCTGGCACTCCCACTGAGTCTTCACCTTATTCTTTTTTTTTTAAGTCTGTTCACATGTTTTTTAATTGGCCATTTCTTCTCAAAAGAAGCCGATTTCTCTAAGATACTCAATGCATATGTATTTCTTTGATGAGAGGAGTATTAGCAGTAGAGCACAAGGAAGAACAGCCTGGAATACAAGCAGAAAAAAAGGAAATTCTCTTTCCACTCAATGTTATTGCTTACTGATGGCTCAGATACATTGTATCATAGCTCCTGAAAACTAGGAGGGGAGCGGATTATGTGACTGGGACAAAAAGAAACCTAGATACAACTTGAGGCAACAACGTTCTGATAGTAGATTTGGTAAATAGAGATTTGAAATAATTTCCCCCTGAGGCTGTGGCCTTGGGCACTCCTCCTTCCTATTTTTCTCTTTGGAAGCAGATTAAAGAAGCTGGGGACTGGGAATAGAAGGCAGTGGCTAAGGGAGTGAGGGTAAGGAACAGAGGGATTTTGTGTGTGTGTGTGTGTGTGTGTGTGTGTGTGTGTGTGTGTGTACCCAATGGGGGGGAGGCAAGGAGAGTGGTAAAGGGGAGAAAGTGAGAGGGAGGGATGGAAAGAAGGAAAAAGAAGGAAGGAGAGGAAGGGAAGGAGAGACAGAAAGAAGGGAATGAGGAAAGGAGAGAGTTGAGGTAAGAGAGAGAAAGGGAAAAGGGGGAGGGAAGGAGGGAAAAAGTAGCAGTATTCCTCTTTACTCAAACATCTCCATACCATCATCCCTGTTAGATATATGCAACTTTTGCAATAACATTTAGATTCTCAATGTGCATGATTTTGATACACAATTTCATGTTAAAGAGAAAGAATATGAAAAAGGCTGTAAGTGATGGTGAGAAATTTACTTTCAAAAATAGTCAATATTAAGTGCCTACTATGTACTGGCACCACAATAAGCTCTGGGGATACAAAGAAAGGCAAAGACAAGCCCTGCCCTCATGGAGCTTACACTCTAAGAACTATGCACAAATAAGCTATATGCATGATAAATTAAAAATAACAGAGGGAAGACTCTGTAGAATTAAAGGCGATCAGGAAAGTCTTCTTGT